AATCGGATCTTCTGAAGAAAGCGAACAATAAAATGAGTTTTCCTCTTTCACAAACAAAGGCATAAGTAGGTTCCGTGAGTGCGTTTACAACAATAGTGTAATGGGGTCGGGGATCAGCCTTTATATAAGCTGTGGCGTCTTGAAGTAAATTGAGCAAACCCTCCTTTAATTAAACTGGAAAATTAAATAAATACTATGAGTTTATTCTGTTTTCAAGCCGTCGTCATTGGGAAATGGTTTTCGACGTTTGATCGTCATGATTTAATAGTAGCTTCGATTAGTCAAGGACAACGACATTCTCTAATGAAGTCATCGACCATTTCTCAATTACGACAATCGTATAGCTCGGAAATGTAGTTTTACAAAATGGCTGCAGATTTCTTACATAATTTATAAATACATTTTATTATGTTTATTATACATATCAGTGTTTGCGGTAAAGCGAGATGTTTCGTTAATTTGAACGACCACATCATTAAATTACGTCAAAATAGTGGTTTACGGTAGAGTTCAAAGGGAATTCTTGCAATGTTTTTCGAAATACTCCTTTAAAATATAATGTAATATTTTATTGGGTTTTAACGTAGAGTGGTATAAATAATATGTGTCGTTTTCGCTACATACATTAAATAAACGAAATTTAATGAAAATAACGTCTACAAAGTTGTTGGGACTCTTGTCTCGTTAATACTTGTTGCTAACATGATACATACTATTATTTTTTTAATTTTCTGAAACTAAAAACTTTAAATGACTAAAAAAACAAATAAAGTTAAAGTTTTGTTCATCTCTTAGACTATTCACTCAGTTTTTCGGACGTGAATCAAATGGATCGCGTGATCAAACTCGTTTAAACCGACCTATTCGATGCGGCAACTTACCTCACTGTATGCGAGCTTTTTATAGCTACGTAATAACTAGCTTTTCGTTCGAGACACCTTTCGTAATATTAGCTCTCGTATTAAGTTCACCCTGTTTTTTATACGTTTTAATTGGTTTTTGTGATTGATAAAACATATTTTGAAATAGTAAATAATGGATGAAAATCTATTTGTAAACAAAACGTAAAAGGTGTAAGGTAATACAACAATATTTTATTTGATTGTTATTTATATAAACGCTTATTTACGTCACGCGTTACGGGCGCCGGCCTATCCGGCTTCCGATACTGCTCGTATCGATCTCTTATCAAATCAATAAATTTTTCTCAGCTCTCTTGAAACGTTTCTAAAAAACATTTCTTTCATTTAAATCAACGAATTCAACAGAAACGAAATGAATACTCGTTGAGTTGTTTAATATTCTTGTGAGCTGTGTTTATGTAGAGCAAAATTTTAGGTAACAATGCACCATTTCATACAAAATTTGTTCAAAAATAAGATTAGGATTGTCTAACTTTAGATATTTAGAGTAAACTTGCTTCTTTGTAAGCGTCAAAGTTTACTCCGTTGTGAAAACGCATACCACATTTTTATAAAATGTAAAATACTTTATTTATGCTAGTTGCGCACGTTTAAATAAAACACTTTTGAGAGTTTAAAATGTGACATAATATAGGTACTATTCATATTTATTTTATTTAAGACCCGATGGTTCGGATGCTTTACAGCAGTTGTAGCCACGGGATGACTGAAGATGAAGGCTTGAACCTACTAGCAAAGTTTAATCTTCTAAGCTTTTTCTTTGTTTTACGAACTGTTTCCACAAGCAATCACAAGGAAACATTATTGGGATCTAGTGTTTTAATATAAGATCACGGGTGTTATCTTAAAGGCGAAATTTTCGTGTGATCACTCTTGGAAAAAAATATTTTTTGTTTTAAAGTATAAATTTATTAGGCATGAATAGGTATTAGGTTCAAATTCTGGGTATTCATTCTTAAATCGTTTCAGTGTAATGTTGAACAATAGGTTACTTGTCAACAATCGTTAAGCGTAACGGACACATAAATGTGCTCACCCCACGCCCAGGAGGAATCGAGATTAAAATGACTATTCAGATATGACGGCTTAGTGTGAACGGCAATCACAAAAATGGAGCAAATAAAATAGCAAATAATCCAAAAACACAATTGCGTCGTTATCCAGGCGGCATTTTCGTATACAAATTGAATATCTGAGTGTCTGAGTGCAATGATGTCCCGATGCGGCTATATTCTGGATACAATTGCAAAATTCAATGGAAATTGAATTTTTAGTTATAAACTTCGAAAGTGGAATATTATCACACTCACTTTGATATGGAATTTGCGATTCAATGGATTTCCAGATTACTACAATTATAAGGTACTTGAAATAAAATCACTAAAACACGAAACAAAATAATCTACCGTCCGTCAACACGACTGTAAACCAAATTAGAACTAAGTTAAAGAACATATGTGATTAAAACACTAACGGTTTAAAACGCGATATATTTTAGTTAAACTTGTTAGAAAATTATTTTTAACTACGGCCAGACGTTTCGGATGCTTTGCAGCAGCCGTGGTCACGCCTCCCCATGACCACGGCTGCTTAAGTAAAATATATCGCGTTTTAAACCGTTAAAGTGTTTTATTTAAATGTGTACTACTCGCGTAAACTACACTACTAGACAGTATTTAACGTATGTGATGTTTTAAACCGATAATAATGTTAATTTGCGTAAACTGCAGACAATTCTTTATCGTATTATTGTATATATATAAAAAATTGCTAAATTGTGTTCATAATTATACGAAAGATCTAAAGAACGATATCGAGTTAGACTATTTTCCGTTTGTTTATTATCGTTGTATAAAATATGTAAGTTCAATAAATATATACATTTGTCATAGGTAGGTTAACAGGAACATATCTTAGGAAGAAAGATGTAATCTTTTCAATATACCCGCATTACTTATCTTCGAAATATTTGTATATTTTCCTCCGCCGCCTCTATAGCCAAATGGTTAAACGTATTGCCATCATTGTATTGCGTAAAGCGCGAGAGGTCCTGGGTTTGAATCCCAGGGAAATATAAAATTGTTTCGGTCGGGCAGGGCACAGAAGCCTGATCAACTACTTGCCCGTTAAAGAGAACGGATGAGTGAAACGGACACAGAAATGTGTTCGCCCCATGCCCCAACAGGGGGAACCGGCTTTCACACTTTTCACACATATATTTTCGGTATAAAGTAACACTTCCATTATTCACTTGTGATTAGTGTGTAACATAATTAATCATGTCTGCTTCCAAATGTAATTGATTAGATTAACCACTAAAATTCTGTTTACCATACTTAATTGGCAAATACTAAATTCGTTATTAGATCGAAAGATCTGTCGTAAATAAAATAAAGTTAGCATTTTTAGTTACGATTTTGAATTGCGATAAAAACATTTGCGTTTGAGTCTTGAGAAACCATAAAAAAATGTTTCGGTCGGCCAAGGCACAGTCAGTAAAAGACAGTTAATAATAAGTGTCATTGTTTTCACAAAAATAAATCACACTCTATTTCACATGTGTCTATTTCACACGCGTTTATTTCACATGCATCTATTTCACACGCGTTTATTTCACATGCATCTATTTCACACGCGTTTATTTCACATGTTTAATATACCACAAAAATATATATATATACATAAATGTGTCTCCTTCAATGGCAAGTAGGATTTTTATTCTAAAAATACCCTCTTTGCTCATTGCGATATCGTTTCTAATACACTTTTGACGGGTAAGTTCAATAATATTCAGAATTGCGAATAACATAATTCTACCCACAGACAGCGCTTCGGGCTAATAAATTATGTATAGAGCAAACAAGAGTTCAATTAACAGTGAGTATAAATGTTGGCACTAGGGCGGTCAGTTTGGTCTGCATTTCACTTTGTTATATTTTTTAGAACTAGTCATAGTGCTATGTATAACTTAGAGACTTACTAATCTTAGTGTGTTTGTTGAGTTGTATGCTGGATACAGTTTTGAACAGTTATGCACGCGTTTGAAACTTAATTATATGCAAAAAAAGGCAAAATTCATCAAAAAAATATTTCTGAATAATAATTCAAATATAAGTTTTGTTTGCAGTTTAAACATTAACAGTTGAAATACTTTTAACGGTTCAAAACCCGAAATATATTATTTACCTTCTTTTTAATTTATTTTAGCTACGGCCCAACGTTTTGAATGCTTAAAATTTATTTCGATATATCCTTATTCATATATCTGAGCTGATGCTACTCACTCAACGCTCTTTGCATTGGGTATGTAGCATGAAGGAGTAGGATTGCAATTGTATATAACTTGTCTTAAAGAGGGAAATATATACTGATATATAAAGCTGAAAAGTTGGTTTGTATGTTTAAACGCGCTAACCTCAGAAACTACTGGTTCGAATTGAAAAATGTGGAAAAAAAAACATCTCTGAGTCTCCGTTGCGTACGCTGTGAAAACAGTTCGAGATACCAAAAATATCTGCGACAGTATATGATATATTTTAAAATTAACTTGCAAGAACGAAGGTTGAGCAGAAAGTTTCCAAAAACAAATTTGATGCCCAAAATGACTACGCTTTGCGGACGAAATAGCTGACTCAGCTAGTCATTTATAGATGGCGGCATTTGACACAACTCGATACTTAGAGATATTGATATAGTTCATATGTTAACAGTATTCGGCGAATTACGATGTTTTCTAGGATGGAATTTTATAACCGAAGCCGAAGTTTAGGTCGCATAATATCCGTAGGACCAATAACATTGACATAACGTAAAAAACACCCCTTTCAATGTCACCAGTCTACCTCGCTTAATTTAATTGCTTTAGTAATGAATAAATGTATTACACGAGGGATTCAATTCTTCATTTTTTCCTTCCTGATTTTATTATAAACGTTATGAAGGTGTCTTATGGTTTACGCTTTTTTATCTAAGTAATAATAAATTTGATCATGCCGCTCCCTTTATGAATTAATTTGAAATGCAAATCAGTCCGTCTCACTGACATTGTCCCTAACTGCATAATGAATTGTAACATCAATGAAAGCGCGGCGTCCTCTAATTTGGGGTATGGGGTATAAACTAAGAATTCTTTATCTATTCCAATATGAAGACTGCGCTATATACGCTGTTGCTAAGCGCATCAAAAACTTCTTATTATTACTTAACATTAAAACGTGCTTTGCTATTAGTAATGTTAAAACTCCAAAAATTGACATTATTAAAGTTAGTTCTCTTTATAATAAATCAATAAATGTGTTCTTGTTTGTCAGACAGCTTGTCTCTTAAAGTGTCGTCGTAAATAGCACGTTTGAGCTTGACTATTTGTTATAAGTTTTCTTAAATAAGGGATAAACAGAACGAAATGATTAATTGAGTTTATTCAGAAATAATGAGAGTACACGGTAGCTCAATTGGTTAGAGGACGCAGGTTCAAGTCTCGTTCGTATTGTAATGTTTTTTCAATCTAAATAGATTTTTAATTCATATAATTTAAATAATAAACAAACACAAACCAGATTATGTGTCGAGTAATTCATGACCTTTAATTTATATAATGCCATTGTGTATTTGAAATTCGCAAAATCTTGTATTTCGGGGTGTTCGGCCGACGTGAGCGAGAAGAGGTTCTCGACGTTTCGCCATCACGTGGTGGACAGCATCATCAGGAGCTGTTAACTCCTCGATTGCTCGAAGAATAATTCATAATTCTTCTCTCTCACATCCCGATAGATATGCTGCAATGATATGCTGAAAAATAGTATTTTTTCAAGTGTGAACAAATCACAAGTATAGTCACTATATAGTATGCTACTACTAATAATAGTTTTCGTAATAAGACTTCTTTGAACTGCCTAAAACATGAATTATTCAGTCACTATTACTAAGTCGATTCTATTTATAAATTGGCTTTTTCATTGTTATAGTTTCTACAGTCGAAGTGGATGCAGTGCTGGGCCGGACAGCGTCACTTCCTTGTGACGTCACCCCAGACGCCAATGAGGATAGAGTATACATGGTGCTGTGGTTTAGGAAAAGTGGCGGGAAACCAATATACAGGTTTGTAGCTATTTATTATCTATATTCGTTGGTGAGCTGAACATTTACATTCTGTACATTCTACAAGGCATTTACAAATACAGAAGTTTATAATCACTTTAGTCGGACCTACAAAAATGCCTACAAATGTTTAGTTTTAACTTTTTAAGAGACTAAATTCTGTATTTAGTTTACGCAAGCTGCACACATTTAAATAAAACACTTTAATGTTTTAAAATGCGATATATTAGGTAAACTTATTTGAAAATGATTTTTAACATTGCAGCAGCCATGGTCACGGGGAGACCTTTCTGAGTCTCTCCATGACCAAGGCTGCTGCAAAGCATCCGGAATGCAATTCATAAATATGCATGTCGTTAATTAACCGATTTTTCATGTTTATTAATTTAAAATATATATGATATATAAATAAAGTTTAGTATCACCCTAACTATAAATTTTTACTATTGATTTCTGAGGCCACATACTTTTGACACTTTTTCTGTTTAATCTTATTTCTTTAATTTAAATTGTGGTGACAGTAAATGATTTTTTTAATACACATAGCATTTTGTCCCAGAAGAGTCAAGGTAAGGTAGATATAGTGTTGAATGTACAATTAATAATATTACGAGGGTAATGAACCTTTGGAACACCTTAAGTGGATGAAGGAAGCCGAATAGAGCCGATCCAATTAGCATTAAGAAAATAACAAGGAAACACACTCAAGATGTTTTACAGTGCCTGTAAATTACAATTGATTTGCGGACTTCCATCCTTTATTGTACTTTGTCTTGTGTTGGGTGATCGAACGGTTTTACAAGAGAGATACTGTGTTATCTTTTAAATCTAATCGATGGTTAATCTATTATTTCATTGTATTACAATAATTGATAGTAGGAGTAAAATATTATAACTCTTATATTAAACTTTAACTAAACTAACACTTTAAACGATCTCACGCGATATATGTTAGTTAAACTTGTTTCAAAATCATATCTACGAGATACTACTAATATTATTAAGGACCGTTTTGCAAATACCGTTCGGCGAAACGCTTTTTTATTTGCGTCAGAGAACCCTTATGATTCTCCGTTACTCGGAAAGCATTTGAAACGCAGGCCGAAGTTAATCTTTTAAATAAGTTTAACTAACATATTTTGACTATCTAATTAGTGTTTTTTAAACCTTTCATAGGAATATTTAAATTTATTTTTTATTGTATCATAGATATTCTATTGTTAATTAAAATTCGTTTCAAAGAGACTAATGCTTATAAAGTATTAAAAATTACGCCTAGTACTTTACTGAAAAGAACTGTCAAAGTTTGTAGTAGTGAACTGTCAATTTTGTCACCCTACAATGGACAAGGTAAAGTCGATTTTGTCCCTTAGCCGAGCGAGTTTACTCAATCGTAAGCAGAAAATTAGCTCCTGAAAGCTCTTAGGAAATCCATTATCCATTGTCCTGTGAAATTTAAATTCTGCGGCGAATTGTAGACCACTTTAATGAGATTCCACATTTAAATCTGAAAGTATTGTGGTTCTAATGGACAAATTGTGATTTGCCGTCACTTTCGTGAGATTAAATTTTGCTCACTTTAAAAAAGCTAATGAGCCGTGAACAACGTTTTCGATAAGATACGTCTATTAAAGCTTATCTTTGTCTTTATCTAGTCACAAAATGTCATAAAATTAATCCGAAGGAGTGTTTGAATGTCCCTTTTTCATTCGTCCTTACGGCATCCAATACTGTTCTTAATTTTTTGACAAAGATTCGCATAAAACTCTTCATCTAAAAAATCAATTCTTTAAACAATGAGCACATTAGCGAAGTCGCGTGCACAGGTGTCTATAGATTACGCGAGTAGTAAACATTAGAAAAGAACACTTTAACGGTTTAAAACGCGATATATTAAATATGTATCCCTGTGAGCATGGCTTCTGCAATGCATCCGAAACGTCAGGCCGTAGTTAAAATAATTTCCAAACAAGTTTAACTAATTTATATCGCACTCAAGTGTATTATTTAAATATGTACTAACATAATAAAGTTTTGTGGCTTTTACAATAGTTCAAATTATTGTAACTATTTTTTTAGCCTAATATCAAGTACGTACGATTATTCTGTCTACCAATTATTATTGATAAAAATACGACACCATCTTAACACAGAAACATTTTAAAATGAGAACACAGCAATCGTGAATTTTCAAATTAATTCGACGCCATCTTGTTTGTGGGTAATTATATCTTCAGTCGCTGTTGCATTGATTGTAATTGACGAGACCGATATGTCAACAATGTACTTTCCGAAGATATTCAATGCTTTGTGTTGCCATTAATTATCGTATATTCACGATGGCTTTCGTGTGAGTGATTTTTTTAATTATAATTGACATTGGGACCTGTGTTCCATATTTGAAGTATCTTAATAAAATGTGCCAGGGAGTTATGAAAACTTGTTTATTTTATATTCTGTCTTTATAACCGGCTAGTGTTTTATCAAATAGTTATTTTTTCAGTCTATATACCTATGTATTTAACACTCTAAGCTTAAAATACTGAGCAGATTTTGAAAACTTCACAGGGATTAAGAAAAAATCAAACTGAGCATATTTACAAAACTTTATGATTTCATTTTATATCCGAAATACATTTTTCATTTAGACGTGCAAGTTGCAATTCTCATTTCTATATTAGATCATCGGGTTATAGTTTTACGTTGATTTTTGAAGTGTAAAGGCAAAACTCTCTTTAAAAAGAGAAAAAAGACGTTTTGAGGAAAAATAAAGAATAATTTTATCGCTACAAAGCGTCATAATTACCTTTATCCCAGAAGAATCTCTAAAATCGGTTGCTGTACAAATTAGGTAAAGGCTGGTAAATTGAAATCGTACGCTGTCCGGAAATTGAAAAACTTCACCGCCTCCTTTATCTTAGCATTTGACAGGTATTTTTCTCTGTCCCAAAATAAATTACGAAGCAAATATTGAAATATTTCTTATACCGAGTAATAGTGAATATTTATATGATTATAACAAATCAATTATAAGTGTCAATATGTGCATTGTAAGTTGGAACCGGCTCTTTGGTTCGTCTACTAGTACTAACTATGCTATGTATGCCTAACAATCAACAGGGTTCGATCCTTACCTGGTCTAATATGTTAATAATCAATGTGTTATTTCTTGAATCATAGTAGACTTCGTCTAGATATCTGGATATTAAAAGGGTGATTGAAATATCGGAAATCCATCCGGGTCACAAACCACTTTCCACAGATGATAAAGCCTGAATTATCGGAATTCCATCCGGGTCACAAACCACTTTCCACAGATGAAAAAGCCTGAATTATCGGAATTCCATCAGGGACACAAACCACCTTCCACAGATGAAAAAGCCACGAAGCTGATTCACATTTTGGTTTTAGTCTGTTGATTACGGATAGCAAAGTCAAAAGAGTTCGATAGAAAAATGTTTCGTTCGGTTCACATAACAATAGAATTATAATTAGTAATTTTCGATATTGGTACTTAGCACATATTTTTTTTTGTGTAAATCCTTGTCTTGAAGCGGCATCCAGCGAGTTCCAGCAGAGCAACATCACGCAACGCTGTGGATGCCAGTTTAAGTCCGGCCCGTGTCGTAAATTGTTTTTAATCTATAATTGATTTTTAATTTATATAGTGCCATGATGTACAATTAATATGTTAAAAAGAAAAATAAAATATTTTTTTAATTTTTTGATTCAAAAATCTACCTTGGCAGTTTCGACGTGCGCGGGAGGTCATTCAACAAAGCTTTACAATGGTCGGATCCTGGTGCCTTCGGACCTCGGGCATATTTCGCGACCATCTCCCGACCTGCGTCACTCACCCTCAACTCAGTGCAGTTGGACGATGAGGGGGTCTACAGATGCAGGGTCGACTTCAAGAACTCACCTACGAGGAATTTTCAAATAAAACTAACTGTTATAGGTAAGTTCTTCACAAGCTAATACAGTCGAAATAAACACTTTAAACGGGTTAAAAAGCGATATGCATTGGTCACAAAGTTTTTTATGAAAATAAAAAATTAAAACCTTCTTGTTTAAAAAAATGTAAAGGTTTTATTTAATATAATATAATACCCGCTTTTTAACTTTCGTTATTATAAGTAAGAATACAATTAACAAGATGAAAACAAATAAGGTAAAATGTTTGTAGTAAGTAGATTTTAACTTTCATTTCGCTAACATACAACAATACCATAATAATTATAATCTTCTTAAAAACAATGTATAGAGAATTAAATAATTTATTTAATCATTAATTATTATACTTTTATGAAGAGAAAATTGATTTACTTGATTTTTTACAAATAAATTGTTCAAGGTGGCAAAAAGAAATCAATCTAGTCATTATGAATCGCGGTAGCGTCTGACATAGGTCATTCCTTTACAGAGACATCTGTTAATTTCATTAACATTTATATTAGTAATGGCATAATCGTAAACTATTAGTCATGAGATCGGGAATATTATAAACAAGATTATTTTGTTTCTATATTAGCTAAAACATTTTAAAAATTAGCTAACATAATGATTTTTTCTAGTTTACCTATAAGGGAAATTAAGTGCTTAATGTTTTTTCAGATGTACTTTATATAATCTTTGGAGATCAACGTTGTTGGTAGAGATTTAAAATAAGGATAAAAATCAGTGCGATATTTATAGCTAACAACATCCTTTAACTGGTGAATTGACAAAAACATCAGTCTATGACATGTGTCATTTGTTGTAAATGTTTAAACAAAAATGTTATAATTCTATCGCAATTGGTATATTCTGTGACGGTAGATTATATATGAAATAAATAAATTCTAATCTAAAATTTTGTGTATAATGGACAATCGGATGTCACTGTATTAACCCTACACTGTGATCGCGTAGACATTTTAATTATGAACTGTCGCCCGTATCCGTAGGTTACTCAGACATCGTTGATAGGAGCAATCCCGGCGAAGGATGACGTAGAAACTGCGGGAGACAGCCAGAATTTGAAAGGAAATTAGATTTATTGATAAAAGTCATCGCTCTTTTATCTATTAAACCTAAAGAAGTTTTTATGGAATCTTAATTTGTCAGTTAAAGTATTGGAAAAAGTATTTAAACGTTTATACCAAACTAGCTGTGTCAGCGACTTCGTCCGCGTATACTAGTTGTCGTTCTTGCAAGTTCATTTCACAAGATAGACACATACATTTTTAGATCATTAAAAGAGGGTTCATTCTTTGGTACAAATTTTATGGGTGTCTTGGACGGTTTCCGCAGCGAAGGTAATGAAAACCCACTAGGATTTATTAATGTTTCCCGTTTTTTTCTATAAGTTCCATCGTAATGTTTTTTAGTCTATAGCTTTCTTCTATAAATGTTCTAACCAACACAGAAATAATTTTTCAATTCGAACTAGTAGTTCCTGAGATTAGCGCGTTCAAACAAACAAACTCTTCAGCTTTCTATATTAGTATAGATTTTAATGAAGTAAAGCTTCAGACGACGTTCGAAGAATTAATTAACTAGATAGAGCATGCAAACGTCTTTCTAAAAAACTAATTCCGGAATATTTCAAAACGATAAATAGATGGCTGGTAAATGGCGAGCAAACCGCGCCAAATCTTTCAAAAGAATCGCCCTATTCAAGACGGTAGACCCGAGCAGAGGAGATGGGGGAAGTAAATTTCTTTTTAAGAACAAAGAATTTAAAAGCCTACTTTTCATATATGCAACTCCATTGAAACCCATTAAGCCTGTGCCAAGAGGTAATTTGCAAGGATTCTTTTGTTAGTAAAGAAACGCCCTTCACAAAGGAAAGTCGGTAATCAGGTGTGTTCATAACGCCGTAAAATCTCATTTCACAGAGTAATATATTTCAGAGCTTTTATTAATTGCCCCTAATAAAATCAAGACGGAACTGGGATAATCAAATTTAAAGCTAAATCTTAGGAGAGTTGAAATTTTCTATGAAATATAAATTTATAATGCAATAAGTAAGATAATATGCAAGGTTTTAAATACTTTCTATAGTTTACGCAAGTAAACTCATATAAACAAACATTATTAACGATAAAATCCTAAAACAAAACCTTGCATTTAAATAAAACACTTTAACGGTTTAAAACGCAATATATTAGTTTAACTTATTTGAAAATGGTTTTTAACTTCGGCCCGACGTTTCGGATGCTTTGCAGCAGCCGTGGTCACGGGGAGACAGTCATTTTCAAATAAGTTTAACTAATATATCGCGCTTTAAACCGTTAAAGTGTTGTATTTAAATGCAAGGTTTTGTTTTAGGATTTTATCGTTAATAATGTTTGTTCATATGAGCACAGCACGGAACGCTGACGATGCCGGTTCAAGTTCTGCCCGAGTCGAAAATTTTTTCGATTTATTTTCGATTTTTAAATTAATGTTTGTTTATTTTTATTAGTGTAATCTATAGAATAGAACTTTGCAGGGAAGAAATGAAACCTTGTTTCAAAGTCTGTATGTATGCCTATTTAATTTCTTCTTCTCTAAACGCCCTCTACAGCTGGATGAAAATCTTACCTATATATAAAGTTATACTTTTGATTTTGAAACGTACATTGACGTTAATAAGTGTACATGTACACAAACAAATAAATTAATAATTAAAACTTAATCTCTAATATCATATACTAGTTGTTACCTAGAAAAACAATTTCTATTTCTTATTTTATCAAAAGTGGTAGTGAATTATTCTCCCTTGTTCCAGTACCGCCACATCAAATTCTACTCTACGACAAGTCGGGGGCTGACGTGTCGGGGATTGTCGGGCCCTTGGAAGAAGGAGCCGCCTTGGTGCTAGTCTGTGAAGTACGCGGAGGTAAAAATAAATACCTTAAACATATAATTAAATTAAAGTATTTTTTAAGTCTAAAGCGCGATATATTATCTATTTATAATGTTCTAACTATGACCCGATATTTCCGTTGCTAAATATATTATTTTTTACGTAAATATATGCGATATATATATATATATATATTTAAAGCTGTTGTTACGTCATAACATTGATTAATACCAATGATATTAAATATCGGAGTTACATGACTGTCTATGCCCTACTAGACCGAAACTATTGAGAATATTTTCCCGGCCTTCGAACCCTGGACCTCTCGACAAAGTGTTAATTATTTAACAAAAACCGAGGACCATCATTTCAATCATTTTAAAGGCTAAACGTTTTACGAACAAACTAATAGCAAAGTAGTTTAATCAAGTTTCAAAAATTCTCGGTTCATCCGTATTTTGTATCGAAGCCGAAAAGTTTTCACGCTTATCATGTGTATATTGCTGAAAAGTAGTCAAACCGCTCAAAACTTCAACACTGTAAAATATCTATATTAAGTTGTGGGTACATAAGAAGAAAAATCCCGTTTCCCTTCATGTCTTTTTCACTAATCAATTTAGGGGCAAACAATTAATTATTGTAAAACGCCAAAGATGTTAGTTAAACTTATTTGATTTTTTTTTAATTATGGCCAGAATTATTGCTTTATTTTAATGTGTATAACTCGCGTAATCTGGGACATCTCGTGCTTAACGGCTATGCTATGATCCGGATGGAATTTCGATATTCCTACCGCCTATTTAACATCCAGATTTGCCGACGAAGTCCAACACGAAATTATAAATTAACTAGCTGAGTCAGTGACTTCGTTCACGTAGAATAGTTATTTTGAGCATCAACATTGCTTACGCCCCACGACGTCGCGCGCGTAGATCATTTAAAGATCAATCATTCTATCTATAGTTTCCAAGTTACATTTAAACAAAACACTTAAACGGTTTAAAACGCGATATATTAGTTAAACTTATTTGAAAATAATTTTTAACTTCGGCCCGACGTTTCGGATGCTTTGCAGCAGCCGTGGTCACGGGGAACACAGTTAACTAATATATCGCGTTTTAAACGTTAAAGCGATTTATTTAAGATCAATCATTCTTTTATACATATGTTTTGGGTATCTTGAACCGTTTCTGCATCGTACGCAACGGACACGATAGGTGAATTATTTTCCTGATTTTTCCACATTTCCCGCTTTTCTTTGCTCCTATTAGTGTTCACGCAATGTTTTATACCTTCCTCGATACATCTTCTAACCAACACAATATTTTTTTTAATTCCGACCAGTAGTTCCTGAGCTCGTTCAAACACACAAACGAACAACCTCTTCAGCTTTATATATTAGTATAGATTTGAAAAATGTTGGACCCGATGGGGATTATTAGTCGTAAAACCAACAAGTCCTCTGCTATGAGTTCTCGGATTATTTATTTCTGATGTTTTTGACAAATTTAATACCGCAGTTACCATTAGTACAATAAATCGTGGAGATTGGCCCATACATACATTGAATTCAACACAGTCGAATCGTATTGGCGTTGCTAACGATTAGATCATCAATCACAGTTTTCATTTCGCGAATGCGGTGCAAACGATGTATCCGATAATAGTTATTGGGATCGAGTTCCCATTCTGATACCTATAATTTTCGCGTAGAGGTCATAATCCCGTGGCAGATGTATTTTGAATATTCATTGTTGATATGGACCCAGTTAGGACATTAAAATTAGTAAAACATGAGGGCTTGAGTGATTACACTGTTTCAAACTAATAAACATGTCAGTTTCACCAACCAAAAATTTCAATAGCGCAACTGTTTTGATAGCCAATATGTACAATATTGTATGAAATGTAAACTTGTACGGGATGTACAAGACCGAACATGTTCTCTGCTATATTAATGGTTATCACATCAATTTGTTAGACAACTCCCAACTTAAATAAGTTTTAATGAAATCTCAGTTAAACATAAATAAATAAAAAAAACTACACAAAAACTAATTATGTTACCGATAGCTTAAATGACATCAATTAAAAATAGGTCTTCTTTAAGACTCATATGCATTTTCACAATCTATACGAATATTAAACAGAAGAGTTTCTTTGCATGTTTGTTTGAACGCGCTAACCACATGAACTACTGGTTAGATTTAAGAAAATATCTTCATCTTACTTGGAACCGCTATTGTGGTAATAAAATTTTGCTGAAGTATTCACATGAAAAAATAAAATTCATCAAAAACCCGACACCTGACAGACATTGTTGTTCTAAATAGCAAAATATAGTTATAGTTCTTTAAACTGTACGTTAAGACTAAATAATAAAAAAAAAGTTAAAATATTTTAATAAAACCCTTAACGGTTCAAAACGAGATATATATTAGTTAAACTTAGTTAGAAAATTATTTTAACTACGGCCTGACAATCCGAAAGATGCTTTGCAGCAGCCGTGATCACGGGGAGACTCAACTCTCCGTTTCAGATTAATATACATCGTAAAAACCGTTAAAGTGTTTTATTTAAATTTGTACTACTCGCGTAAAAAAAAAAGAGCAGAGACAACAATCGAATGAAGGCAAAATTACGACATGAGCAGGACTTGAACCGGCATCCACCACGTTTCGTGCTGTTGCTCTAACCAATTGAGCGACCGTGCCCTACACGTCATCGTCGATTTTTTTGAACCTCTCGCGCAATACATACAATGCATATTATATTTTACATAGTAATATCTTTTTGTAACTTAGACCTACATTATAATACCGAGGAGCGTTTGCTAAAACAATTTTATTCAAGCATCCGAACAGGACGAGATGGGATCTGGCGTTTTAAATTTCAATAGGCAACGCTCTACTGCATCTGGCGCATCACAATGTGAGCTAACTGAAATTAGGATCTGCGCAACGAATCTTCTATTACGTCACTTCCTTAGCACACCGGATACGAAGTTTTATTAAGTTTAAAGAAATTAAAACAATTTTCGATTACATTATATACTACAATAATTCCTCAATACGTAGTTCTTTATCAATTAAACTGTACTGGTTAATTAAATACTGTCTGTACTTTACGCGAGTAGTACACATTAAAAAAAAACCCACCCTATCAATTGGGAGGCCTAAGTTTGAAAACATTAATATTTTTCACATGTTATTGCACATGAAGGCACTATATAATTTAAAAATCGAAAATAAATTAAAAATTTTTTTTTTTTTTTTTTTTTTTTTTAGCAACAGCACGGAAACTACGATGCCGGTTCAAGTCCTGCCCGAGTCGAAAATTTTTTTCAATTTATTTTGGATTTTTAAATATATACGGCCTAAGTTATCAAACAGCTTCGAACACATATTAAAAACTCTAGATTCCAAAAAAACAGCGTACGGGCAAACGCCTTGCAGAATTGACTAATGCTGTCTTTTGTTAGTCAATTCTGCAAGGATTCGGCCAGTTTCGCCAAGTACCAACTACGACGGAACAGATGGCGCTAGCGTAGCAGTTTTTACTTTGACATCAGAAACACCCTCCATCTTTAGTCTCCTCGTGTTTACAGTTATTGAACCGTTTTCGTAGCGCACGTAACGGAAGGCCTAGAAGATTCCATATTCTTCACTGTTTCATCGCTCCTGTTGGTCCCAGCGTGATATAACCTAAAGCCAACCTCGATAAAAGGTCTATCGAGGTCGAAACAGTAGTTACTGAGATTAGTGCGTACAAACAAATAGACAAACTCTAATACACATAAACAAAATAAAGCATTCTTACGGTTCCCCACGGTTTCCCCGTGACCACAAAGCATCGGAAACGTTGGGCCGTAGATATTTAAAAAAAATTATATTCCGAGTTTTGAACTGTTAGTGTTTTATTTAAATATGTACTACTTGCATAAACTACAGACAATATTTGAGCAACACTTGATTTAAATTTATAAATGACACAAAAGCGACGCTCTATGCCCCACATCATAAGAGGATTAAATAAATATAACAAGTAAATAATTAAACTTAAAATGGCGCGTTTGAGAGCGCCCCAGCAGGCTCTCTTTATAGAAACATTTGGGGAGATATTCCATTTCAATGAGTTCATTGAAAAGTCCGCAGTATGGCAGGCTGGCGTGCTGCCAGGTCTACGCCGCACAGATTATCTTTGCCCGCGTGCCCACCGATTGTAATGATGCAGTGGGCCAAACATACACCCTATAAAACTTCCTGCGATAGCGCCATTGTTTCGAGCGTCACTTGTTTTTACATTACGGAGGCTGGTATCGCTTATAATAAAAATGCTTTATATTACCTTGTTCTAGTTGCTTAAGTAAGCGTAGACCTAAATAGAGAGATACCAACATTTGAAATGAACGTTTTGCAAATTATATAAAATTAAAATCGATTTTATTTTGAAAAAAATACGAAACGGTCAAGACCTGAACCGGATTCACAGCGTTCCTTACTATTGCTCTAACCAATTTAGCTTCCGTGTCGAACACGTCATCGTTGAAAACACACACAACAGTTACCTTTAATATGCTGACCAGTTAATCTGCCTTCGTAACTTTCTGTTTAAGTGCTGCCGTTGCGTTAAGGACGACAAGTCCTACATTCGAATCATGTAGAAAACACCAGTTGTCTCGTCGGCAGGGTACAAAAGTCTCCTCTACTTGGCCTTTAAAATAAATTTATAAAGCAATCAGACAGTGTTCTCTCCATGCCAAGAGAAAACGGGATTTTATTTTATATGTGTTGAGAGCTTAGAGTTGTCGAAACATCAGTCAGTAAATAAAGGCAAATTACAAGGACGATCGCATTAAAAAGAAACTATCCAGCCAGTATGCAAAAATACTCCTAAATATTATGTCGCTGTTAAAATAATTGACCCCATTTGAAGCTTACGCTAAAATACTCGTACAATGAGAAGCTCACTATTTATTTCATTTACAGGCCGTCCGGAACCCGTGGTTACATGGTTGGTGGATGGCAAACCAGAGTTGAAATACATAGGAGTTAAGACAGACACTCACGTCATAGTGAACAGACTAGAAGTCCAACAACTCAAGAGGGAAAACCTGAATACAACCTTCAAATGCCGAGCAACAAATACGCACCTTGTGCCTCCGCAAGAAAAATCAGTACGACTAGAAATGAATTGTGAGTTATTCTTGGAGGTAATACCGTTAAATTTCAAATATCGAACGAAGTTTAGAGCAACGTTCAAAGTTTCTTTATGGTTTCTTTTTTTATAAAAATTTAGTCTGTCTTAGAATATAAAAAACACCCCTCCTTTTTTGAAAATCATTCGTGGAGATCCCTAACATGGCTGCCTGTTTTTATGGTATAATGCGTTTAATCGTAAAGTTTTTTCAAATATTCGCGATCATAATTCTATAAAACTACAGACTACAGTATTAATAATAGTTTTATAAAAAACTAAGGCCTTATAGAGTATTGACGGAAAAGTTATACTTAAGTGTTTGTGGAGGTTAACGAATTGTTTAGTTAATTTCCCCGTAAAAACTAAATATAGTGTAGTCTCTTCTACTTTTAAGTTAGACCGTTTAAATACTTAATATAAATCTTAATTCTTAAACACAGATATTGAGAACTAGACTACACCTAATATTTGAGATAGGCTGTAGTAATATCCTTATTGATATTTGGTTGCACAGCAAAAGGGTAATGCCCGGAAAGCTAGCGTTTTACAAAATTCACGAAGGCTAATGAGGGGATCGTATATTCGATATCGTATCATGTTAACGAACCACGCCAATACTCGTTAAATTCAGGTGCTCCTAATACTCGAATTTATTTTGCTCCTGTACACAGAATTGCTACGATAAAGAAACAGGGTCGAAAGCCAACAGAAAACGATAACGAAGTTTGAAATATTTGTCACGTGTTTTTTCATGAAAGATAACAGACTACGTAGCTAGATAGAAGGTCTAACATCTCAACAAGATGCGCTATCGATCTATTCGATCTATTTTGGCCCCGAAAAATTGGGGGACACAGACTAAAACCGAAATGCGATTAGACCAGCCATTTTATATTCAAATTTCTAGGTGAAGTATGTTTCAGAAAAAATATAAATTCATTAGAAACATCTACGACCCGGTGGGCATCGAACCCACGGCCCGTTGATTGCTAGTATTAGGCCAACGAACCCGTCGTAATGTTTTAATGAAGAGAAATGTCAATCCTATAGATGGTAAAGATACCTATCTTCCATTCTATACATATCTACCATCTATAGGATCTTACCTAACCTTATTTACACACTTTTCCTTGTAAATAAAGTAAATAGTTCAACTAGATCATTAGTAGCTTTTTATTTTTTCAGAAGTCTCAAATGCGATGCTTTGTATCCGAATGTCGGGTAGTTCTCACAATAAATTACTTAATAATATATTTTCTATTCCAAACAGTTAAGTGTGTTTTTAAATGTGTACTCCTCTTTCGTTTTTACAACTTAAAAAAATTTACGTTTTTAAAACTACTTTTAGCTAACTTCGTCGTATCGTTTCGTTATTGTTGAGGCTTGCCTTAAGTCAAGGTTATAAAGAAAAGTATGTATTAGTGTAGCTACGATTATAAATGTAATTATTTTAACAATAGTCCAAACACGTTTTCACTTACAAAACTACAGAATATGAAAAATATTTCATTCAATATGGTGCAAGTTGATATGACGCTGATTTACATAACTATTGTATAGAGAATAACAGTTTTTAAATAAATAAAATGCTAATTCATACGCTTAAAAGCTTAGTATATTATATTTACCATCATATACTATATATATATCACAACATATTGTGTTGTCATTAGTTCCCCAAGGTATATTTTCGGATTCAAGAGCCTAAAAATCTAAAAATCTAAAATTTACTAGTTGAGACATAAGACGAATATTTATGTATTCAATTTTTCTCAGTGCCTCCACTGTCAGTTTCGTTACTAAATCGACCGCAGCAGTTGCTGGCTGGTTCAGCAGCAACGTTACAATGCGTCTCAGAAGGCAGTAGGCCACCAGCTATGATATCGTGGTACAAAGATAACAGAAGTTTTGAGAAAGAAAGGGTAAGAATCTTTTGTATATAAAACCTTTTTGAACAAAAAACTTTTAGTAATTTGAAATAAGAATGAAAGCAATACTTGAATAAATAAATTGTTAGCTAAGTTAAAGATATTTTATTGATTTTTTGTATAGACACGAACAAACAAAAAAAGTTTTTGTTAGGTTCCCCTACAGTATTGACATTAAATTGTAAAAAAAATCTGTATTTCTTGTTTATAGTTTTTTATGTTCAAAACATACAATGGTGTGCAATGGACAAATTAAAATAGATTTTTGTCTAGGTTAGTGAACGGGCAAACGAAACTTGGTCCGTGAGTTCCCTGGTCTTCCACCCAGCGCCAAACGACAACGGAGTAATAGTCAAATGTGTTGCAACTAACCCAAGATTACCAGCCAAGGCCATAGATGATCAATTACTATTAAATGTTGTATGTAAGTGACAATAATTTATTCATAGTAAATTTTCACAAATGTAAAAGGAATGGTAGAGTAAAGAGAGTTCTTTTAAAATTTGGTGAAATCTAAGCCTGTGTAGCAGAAAAATTATGTATTATTGAAAAGTATAAAGACTTATGAACGTTCAACTAAATAGAGAACTAAGATAAATCCTAAATAGAAATCTACGACGTTATATAAAGCTTAATTAAATTAAGATAAATCTCGTTATTTTCTTTGAAATTTACAAATATTTCAACAATTATTAGAAAGATGAAGAAATGTTCTTTAACACATCACCGACATGGCTTAATGATAAATATGTTTCCTACCGGAATTCGAATCCCGGTGAAACATAATTGCATCGGCAGATTAGGTCGTAACAGTAAGATCCTGCGCTTTCATGTATAAAAGCAATCAGTGATACAGACATAGAAGTGTATCTGCCCCATGCTCCACATAGCGGTTGTTTTTTTCGGATTTAATATTAAAATATTAAGATGGCTGTCAAAGTTATTTATAAATTTGCTTTAACTAATATATAATACAGTTAGTGTCATTATATTCGTATACGCTCTGTATAGTTACAGATCATCTAGTAATTACTATATCAATCACCAGATAGTCCGTTGGTGACGTTGACTCTTGGCAGCACTTTGAACCCTCACGATATAAAGGAAGGAGACGACGTCTACTTCGAGTGCAACGTGCGAGCAAACCCACGGGAATACAGGATATCATGGTACCATAATGCAAGTATCTTTTAATTATTTCATTACCAAGTCCTCTATAACAGAAGAATAAATGTGAACTATGACATATTTCAGATTTTACTTAGGTACTAATTTATGACTTACACTTTTTACAGCTATATTCCTTTAGGTCCTTGGTAACAAATCTATACTAATATATAAAGCTAAAAAGTTTGTTTGTTTGAACGCGCTAATCTCAAGAACGACTGGTTCGAATTGAAAAATTATTATTGTGATGGTTAGAGCATTTATCGTGGAAAGCTATCAGAAAGCCATAAAACATCGCGCTGTGATTGATAAGAGCGAAGAAACAGCGGGAAATTTGAAATAAACGGGGAAAATTATTCAGTAACAAAAATTTCTTTTCTACGCGGACGACGCCCCCCCCCCCCCCATTTTTTTTTTTTATTGGGGTTTTTGGGGGTTTTTTTTTTTTTTTTTTTTTTTCCCCCTTTTTTGGGTTTTAAAAAAAAATTTTTTTTTTTTTTTTATAAAAAAAAAAAAAAAAACTACCGGTCTAGCACGGATCAGAATTCCGTCTTCCTTCTTGTAATCGATGACCGCCTCTGTAGCCAAATGGTTAAACGTGTTGTTTAAAAAGGCGAAACGTCCTGGGGTCAAATCCCAGGGAAGCAAAAAAAAAAAATGTTTCTGTCGGGCAGGGCACAGAAGTCGGACCAACTATTTGCCCGTTAAAAGAACGGATCAATGAAACGGACACATAAATGTGTTCGCCCCGTGCCCCACGAGGGGGAAACGCCCTTTCACACTCCTTGTAATCGATAAATGAAATAAGCAAATAATTTTTTTCAGTCCCCTGTCGACTCTTATGAGAAGTGAAAGGTCTTTACTCAAGGCAACGTCGATCTTCGTTTCTCTTAACAACGCTTGTACTAAAAGTTCTCTTGCAGGACAGACCCGTCATACAGAATATGACGTCGGGCATTATACTCAGTACCCGGTCGTTAGTCCTACAGAAGGTGACGAGGCGCGAGGCGGGACTGTATTCCTGTAAAGCGACTAACGCTAGGGGCGAGACGTCAAGCGAAGCTGTCAGGTTAAGAGTGCAGTGTGAGTGAATACTTTTGAAACAGAGGGCTTACAAGCGCAAAGCTTACTCGATGGATATGCAATGCCCAATACTTCTATTATTTTATGATAAAGTGGGGGAGGGGGGTGTTTTACTTTTTTTTGTTGGTAAAATACCCCAGTTATATAACATCTAGACAAGGTGCGCTGTCGATGTATTTTTGCTTTGTTCAAATTCCTGGATTCAATTTTAGATATTCCTATCTAATTAAATTCTTCTACTTCTATTTTTTTACTTACAATTCCTTTGAAAACATTAATATTTTGCACATGTTATTGCACATGAAGGCACTATATAATTTAAAAATCGAAAATGAATTGAAAATTTAATTTTTTTTTTGAAAAAATTTTCGTCCTGCCCGAGTCGAAAATTTTTTTCAATTTATTTTCGATTTTTAAATTACAATTCCTTATTAATGTCCAGATGGCCAGCCAAACTCCAACAATGTGTTTCAGAAAAATTATAAATTGAATAGAAAAAGTGGGGATCGACACGACGATGATTATAAGCCATGCATTGCTACCAATACACTAACAAGATCATCAAGCCAACTTTTAATCTCTAACACCTAATTCAAGTGTCGACCCATTTCGGATTCATTCAGAAACCATGGGCCGAGACCGAAACGTGACGTTACACTTTAAAAATGTTTCTACAGTCGCTAGTGACTTTATCTCGTTAAGTTATAGTATATTATTATTAAAAAATGGCTGTCATCAAAACAATGACTGGCAAATGTGTGCCACATTATTTACGTGAATCACTATATTTTACACCAATCACTGTTACGTACAACTTTGCTTAAACGTTAAATTAGATGAAGGTCCAGTGATAGTGATATAATTCTTTACTGAAAAATGTAAGTAAGCCTAGAAGGATTAAGACTGAATATAATAGTAGAGATGGTCCGAGTGTGGTTTGGGGCGAAACCCAATTTTGGTTAGGTATCTAACATAAAGAACAATATTTAGAAAACTTTCATTTAAAACATGAATCAGTTGCAAAGACGTGTAAGACTTAAGTGGCAAACGTGAAAATTATAATATTTGTAAATTATACCAAAGTTCATTACAGTTTAATTAGAATAACTGACAAGTTTTATTAGTCACAGAACTAGGTGCAGTCTAGAATAACAGATTTCGCTCCAGAACGTCATAACACAAATGTTTTACAATTTTAATAGTTAAGACTTTGTAAGTCTTTCACTAAACTTTGGACATAATTTATAACAATGACATCAATATAATATGACCTTTAATTTATACTTAAGTAATAGGTATGATCGGTACCATTTTTTAATCTTTTTTTCTGTTACCATCGGCTATTTAAAACAATTTTTGGCTATTTCTAGCCGAATACAAACTTAATATCGATCTATCCTTATTGCATAACATCATTAATATATCAATTAATCACAGTGTTTAATGAGTTCGTCATATTTTAATTAAAATTGTAAATGACGTACAAAACAAAGTAGATATCCAAAAAGGAAATAAATAAGCATGTTTCACAATTGCATTATATTTATTTGGACTACTGTTTATGTGTAATCATTCGCTTTATTTGAACGATACATAAATCAGAGATATAATAAGCCCTTTGCTTTAGCTATCCCCAATAAACCTTCAGCGTAAACTAACCCTCTTTACATACCAAAATACAGTTGTAGATTTTCCGCCTTCTTATCACGATTTACATTTTAACCATCTATCCTTAGTGTTGTTTCTTTGCCACAGTTGTAATAAGGAGCAGTAGCACCAATTTTATGTTTAGTGTGTAACCGATAACGAACGAGTTTTGAATAAAAATTTTTCATATTATTATTGACTCAGTAACTAAATAAATATATACGTAAAGTGTATATATTTAAATAACGTTTCTAAGTGTTTAAAATACGTGTTTAAACATGTACCTACCCTTGTAAATACAGTATAAAATATCTGAATTGGGGAATTTTTTTTTTAACTAAAATAATTATTTTTTTTAACTAATAATATTATTCCCAAAAAAATTTTTCGGTAAAACCCCCCTGGTGGAAATTTTTGAAAAAATTATAGAAAAATTTTTTTTTTTTTTTTTTTTTTTTTCCGGAATTTTTTTTTTTTTTCTTTTTTTTTTTGTCAGTTGTCAACGTCAGCTGTCATTAGTTTCAATAGTAATCTAGTAACAAAAGGATGTAACAGCCATTAATATTATTGAGTTACTGGCTCCACCTTATTTACATACCGTCTAACGGATACGACACGTAACAATAAAATGTCACTGAGTATGAATTACGGGGTAATAAATAGCCAAGTCTGCGGGTATTCAAATGATTGTGGTTCGGATCGACGAGCCGTTTCCTTCCGACCAGTAATTGCTGAAGGAAGGCGTTGCCACTAAATCATCTAAATTATTGCCTTATATTAGGGCGATTGTCCGGGAACTATAGTTTGTCAAATCTATGATGACAAGATTGTTCATTCACATCAATAAAGTTGCATTACTAAAAAATATTGTACTTTATTAACGGCATAAATTGGCTATTTAAAGAACATTTTTTTAATGAAAGATTGTTTTAATAAGAGCTTAGTTGCATAAATTTCAGTGTCTTTGAGTTCAAACTTAATAAAATACCTATTCAAATATCTTTGTTGAATTATTAGAAATATAAATCAATAATCGAATTACAATCGATAACACATCGTCCCATCGCTATAGTCAATTGTCAAACTTATCATCCTCCATCGGACAAGGTGCATTACGGCGATTCCCCGGGAACCAGCAATCTGTTGTTTTGCGGGAGCACTTTAATTCATAGAGCTTTGTTTTAGTTCGTCCGACCGGAATAAATTTCCTTTCAAATCCCGTTTTGTGTCATGTTGCGGGTGCAGGTAATGTGCGTTTAATGTTCTTGTATGGGTTTCAGCGCTAAATGGATATTAAATACGTGCACATGAATATAAAAATGTATTTTAATGGTCTCGCTGCAGTGGAATAAATTATTCATACACTTACCTTACGGTATTACAAAGAGTATATATACTAATATATGAAGCTGAAGCGTTCGTTTGTAAGTTTGTATGTTTGAACGCGCTAATCTCAGGAACTACTGGTTCGAATTGAAAAATACTTTTTGTGTTGGTTAGATCATTTATTGAAGAAGGATATAGTTAGGGTGTTGTTTTGTTTGAAGTTTAGGCTTCAGTCTGTGAACTCTCGATATCCAAAACCAAAATAGGTCGATATCTTGTTAAGATGTTTTATGGCTGGGGTAATTCATCTATTTCACCAAACGTATCCTGTATAAAAATCTAATTATAATAAAAGATAACCTTTTAAAAATCAAGGTTTAAAACGCGATATTAGTTAAACTTATTTGACAATGATTTATAACTTCCCCCGTGACCACGGCTGCTGCAAAGCATCCGAAACGTCGGGCCGAAGTTAAAAATCATTTTCAAATAAGTTTAACTAATTTTTCGCCTTTTAACCGTTAAAGTGTTTTAAATGTGTACATCGCGTAAACTTAGCAGATAACCATTGTCCTTAACAAAAATAAAAATATATTTCTTTTTTTAGTCGCACCGGTTTGCAGTATTTCGTCGCCCCAAGTGGTGGGAGCCGCTCTTGATGAGTCGTTGCACGTTCGATGCTCGGTGCATGCAGATCCTGCTGACGTCACGTTTTTGTGGCAGTTCAATAACAGTGGCGAAAGCTTTAACGTTTCTCCAGCGAGATATGGTAAGGGAAATTTACAATTTCAGAATAGAATAGTATTTTAACTATTTTTCATTAGATCTGTGCTTTGAATTATTTAAGCAGCTCTATTGTTAAGCAAAATTAATTTAAAAAGTCTTCAATAAACGGTTATATAAGCTAGCTAGTTTAATTAAATCACTTTTGACGGTTTTAAACGCGAAACGTATTAGTTAAACTTATTTAAATATTAATTTAATTACGGTCCGACGTTTCGGATGCTTTGCAGCAGCGTTGGTTAAGAGGAGAGTAAAGAAGGGTGTCTTATTTATTGTATCTAACTAATTATTAGTCATTAGTGTTTTTTTTTAATGTGTACTACTCGTTTAAGCTACAGATAGTGATTGAGCTAGCTTAATTAAATTTCAAAACTGTATTATTTTATTGGCTTTTCGTAAAATTTAAGGTTAATTTGTTTTAGTGTAGCATTCTTGTTCTAACTGAAAGAACTATTGCGTTAAAAGGAAGATTATTGAAATTTTGTAAATATAATGCTGTACTATTAACATACTTCAAGATAAAGTGGGTTCGATAAAGACTGCGTTGTAGATTTGATAACGATATTACGTTTATAATAGCATCAGTTTAATAGTATTTGGAATTTGTTTAATTAAATATAAAATATAATTATGTAACATATGGAAGATACCATTAAAAGCAATAAAAAGTTCAAAAAACTAAAAATATTTAAATAAAACACGTTAACGGTTTAAAACGCGATATGTATTAGTTAAACTTTTTTGAAAATGATTTTACCTACGATCCGATTTTTGATGTTTGAGCAGACGTGGTCATGGGACATGCACCAAATTGTATAACTTATTTAAATATTATTTTAACATCGGCACGGCGTTTCGGATGCTAGGTACGCCCCTGTGGCCACGATAGAATTGTAAATAAGTAACATAGATATTTCGCGTTTTAAACTGTTAATTGTTTTATCTATATGTTAGTCCCAAATTAATGTACCCATAAAATTATGTTGTTACTTACCAGGAACTTTGAATGGGAGTACGAGTGAATTAAGGTACACGCCAGCTAGCGAGAGGGATTACGGTGCTCTTACTTGCAGAGGTAGCAACACTGTGGGCCGACAATTACAGCCCTGTATTTTCCAGATTGTACCTGCTGGTATGTAGCCTTAATACCTGCTTTAATTCTGCTTCACACATGTTTTTATGACAGAGGAGAACAGACAAGCAAGTGGTTCACTTCATGGAAGGTGAAATAGCGAAGCTATATAACATTTTGACAAGATAACGCTATGGAACTATTCTGGCTTAAAAATATTTGGAAATCCACGGACTGAATCCGTAAAACGATTAAACTATCGTTAGATGTTTTCGTTAGGTTGGATTAGGCTTTTTTATCTGTAAACGAGTCAATTCTACCGTAGACTACCGAGGAAAAATTTCAAAATTAAAAACATCTATTTGAGCTTAACAAAATGGCAATCGTCATTTGACAATGTTGTCATAGATATAGTCTTTAGTATCTATATACGAATTTTCATGATCACTTATATAGATTTAATGTGTTTTTAATAGACTTTTATACCAGCAACTTATTCCGCATAGAATAAGTCCAAAATAACAATATTTTGGGCATCAAAATTTGTTTTGCAAACCTCCTCATCTTTATAAATTATAGCTGGTGCCAACGACGTCGTTCGCATCCCGTCGTTTTTAAGTCTCTTCTCTTCTCTCTTCTCATCTTAACCTTCTCCTTCATTTAAAGAAGAATCATTCTTTCAGTATTTTTTGAGTTTCTCAAACCGGTTTCAGTGCACGTAATAGACATCGTGTAATCAATTTTTCAATTTGCACCAGTAGTTCCTTTGATTAGCACATTTAAAGTTCAGTTTTATATATAAGTATTGGAATTGCTGTTTTAAACTTCCTTCGTAATATTTTATATAGATCTTGTATATTTTTATTTTCTTTGAAATAAAAATTACGTTCCACTTTCCTTTATATACAAATTTTAGAAAAACAAAACAATTCCTTTTCGCCGTATAATAATTATTGTATACGGCAGTTATGATAAATAATGATAAAGTTAATTAAGTAAATAAGGACAATACTTTAAATGTTGAAACACTGTTTACAGAGCATTTGCCTGATGAAATTTTGAAAAGCCGCTGTTTTGAAACAAACCCCCGCCTTTTGAATATAGAATGTTATAAAAACATCGTAATATTTTTATTTCATTTACGCGGGAGTAGATGAAATGGGGATGAATCTATTTTATAATTAATTTACGAGAATGAATAATACTGGTTCGATTAGAATAATGATAATTCAGTAAAAATCCGTTTGTTGCTTTGCTTTGATAATAATGATACGGAACGCAAGATTATTAATACGAACTGATAAAATCTATAAATTGATTTTATTTATGATAGACGTAGATAAACGGGCAGGGGGTATTCTTAATAGATGTAATTTTCCAGCCATATAACATATCAACATGCAACTTATTTTGGCTTTGGAAATTCAGATATCTACAGAGAAAGAAACCGTGCTACCAACTTCACTACTTTTTATCTGTGGATTTGTGACCTGGACGGAATATCCTGGATATTCCTACCACCCTTTTAATTTCCAGACTTAAAATCCAACTTATTTAAAAAAATATTGATTGATGTTGGAACCGGGGGAGATCGAACTTACGGTTGATTATTAGCTGTATATTGCTACCATTAGACAGATTTCTACTATCGAATAGCTTATTTTATTCAAATTTGTAAGCCATTGTAAACAGGCTTGGCTGTTAAAGTTTTTATATACCATAGAAACCAAATTCGCCTCGCGTAGGTATAGAAAAATCAAGTTTTATAGTTTAGCGCGCCCCCTAGTTGTCACTTATAGTAAACTTATTCCTACAATCATTAGTATAAGATGTATTAAACAAGGTTATTTCGTAGCAAGACCAGCGCCGCCCCGAAATTGTTCAATTTCAACGGGAAACGACTCCAGTTGGGAGGAAATCAGTAGAGAGGACATCATCGACTACATTGCTGTTAGATGCGTGACTGGATACGATGGTGGTCTACCTCAACTCTTGATCTTGGAAGCCCTCGATTCAGTCAGTGGAGTCACGAGGTTCAATGTTACAGCTAACGAAACAAGTAAGCACTTAGTTTCAAAAGTCCAACGGTCGACTCTTCTAAGACTCTTTCAGCGTCTTAGGGTAAAAGCGACAAACATTACTGTTTTTCAAGAACCATATTTTTCAATAATTACGATACAAATTAAAATTTACTAGTATGTTGTATTGACATTTCATGGACTGACAATAAATCTATTTCTGCTGTATTATTTTGGTATTCCTTAAATTAAATAAAACACTTAACTTTAAAACCATATATTAGTTAAACTTATTTGAAAATTATTTTTAACTTCGGCCCGAGTTAAAAATCATTTTCAAATAAGTTTAACTAATATATCGCGTTTTAAACCGTTAAAGTGTTTTATTTAAATGTGTACTACTCGCGTAAACTATAGACAGTATTCCTTAAATTCTAGTGCGGCCCTGTGATCTGAAATAAGACCATTTCAGATCACAGGGCCACACAAACATTAGTAAAAAATAAATAAAATATCAAAGAAGACCTTATTTTTCTTAATATCATTTTTTTTAATTTATATTCTTTTTTTCATTTTTTTTAATGATGGCAACTTCTTCACTTGACTACTTCACTTGATAGTAGGTAAAATACCTCAGCCCAGCCAGCATTCAAACAAGATGCGTCGCGATAGATAGTGCAATTATATGTAAAAGTCATGGTTGTTCTAACAGGTGGTGTCGCTGTATTCCTAATCCCTGCTATGGTTCTGTGGACGAGCGGGAGTTCCCTTCGCCTCACAGTTCACTCCAGGAATGATAAGGGTGCTTCAGACCGGGTGGTTATACAGGCATTATCTTATCAAGACCCTGAAAGAAGAACAGGTAATATATACAGGTCGTCAATTCTAGTTGCGTCAAATTTAAATTATCGTATGTGTTTGCGCTTTCATTATTCATATCACTAATTGCGCTTTACTTTTTTAAATTAGGCTTTGCCTTATCAATTTAGATAAGACAAAACTTATTTTTATTGAAGCATATTTTTGAAAGATAGTTATTACAATAATATTTAATATGGCGTATCCAACATTGCAATAGATGCATTGATGATTGAGATATTTGATCACTCGAACGATTTTAGGTGGTACACGAAAATATTCATGTTTCTCTACATTATCAAATGTACTCTTTGGAAACCATCCTCAGGGAAACATACATTTCGTACCAACACCTCTCTGTGTCCCAACTGTGGGAATACTATTAATTGTTAATATCAAACTATGTAGCACGAACCAGCAAACCTTCTCGTCTTTGTTATTTATATCTGTTAACCACGACTTGGTACGCATCCCGTAGATCTCGGTTAATCTTAAAATAAAGATATAAGTGGACATTTATTTAATAAAGTCTATCATGGAAAGAAATATCATTCTTATATATATGTTTTGGTAACTTGAACGGTTTTCGCACACGCAGCGGAAGCCCGGAAAGATGAATTCATTTTTTTCCACATTAACACTGTTTCTTAGCTCTCATAGCTCCTATTAGTCACAGCATGTTTTATAGATGCTCTAATCAACACAAAAATATTTTTTTATTGGAACCAGTAGAATCTAAGATTAGCGCGTTCAAACAAACTATTTAACTTTATATACTTAACGGAGTATTAACACAAAAAACGTCAGTAACTGTACGTCAAAATCAGCACGCATATTAAAATGCAAATTGAATTACGCAGCTGTAATTGCATAACATACAAATATTATCGTAATGTTGCCCCTTGTATGTTTTACAGACGGACGTGACCACCGGTATTTTATGCAAATGTACAGACGCTTTTATGAATTATATAATTGAAATTATTGATACGTCTACAAATAACATCGACGTTGTTGTATTCCGCTTTAGTTGTTTGCTTTTTTAATTAACGCAAACACTACAATTAATGTTCTCGTTGATTTTGCAACAGACAGTGTTTGCCGTTCTGCCTAATAATTATATAGGAAGTTCTGATAACGAGAGACATCTACTCTCATTACTGTGAATTTGAGAACCTTTTTAAACTTCCCTTAAGATGTCTGAATTTCGGGTGTCTGAAAGTACACGTTTTGAATACGGCGAAGGAACTAACGAGATGTTTTCGTGAAAGGTTGGATTTTTACAGGGACACATTAATGAATAGAAGTAAAAATAAACCGTGGAGGTCGTATTGAAATATATACTAGAGACACGCGTCGATTATGAACAAATATATTTTTTTAGATGTCACAATTTAAAATTGGGTGCCTATACTATATAACACTGGTCTTTGTCTATATGAATATATGATTAATAGTTACATTTTATTTTTTACTTTAACCATCAGCTAATCACGATTGATTGTAAATTTTTCAAAGATTATATTTGCTAAAACAATTAATAATAGAAACAATTATGAAATTAATTTATAAGATTTTTATAAATAACTATTCGTGTGTGACTCGTGTTTAGTTGATTTTTATATGTATACTAACAGTGCCCGCAACTCCCTCGGCATGGATTAGTTATTTTGGACATCATATTATTAAATTTTGCAAACACCTTTGTATATTATACTATACCCACTACGTCGTCCCGTAGCATCGTTCTTGCGAATTAATCTTAAAAGATAGATATATACTGTCGCGGAGCTTTTTAAGACATCTAATGAAAAATCATTCCTTCATACATTATTTGTTTCTTAATTAGTTTTTGCAGCGCACCGTTTCCGTTGCGGAAGCCCTTAAAGATGAATAATTTTTCACATTTCCCTCTCGCTCCCCCATCGCTTCCCCACATCGCTCCTCGATAAATGTTCCAACCGACACAAAAAAAAAAATTTGAACCAGTACATCCTGAGATAAAAAACCAGGAACAAACACACAAGCTCTTCAGTTTTATAAATGCTATTTTAATATTTAATGTAATATTAGATGGAGTCCAAGGTACAATGGCGGGTGTGCCCCGAGGGGCATTTTGGGCGATCGTCATTACAGCTCTGTTCTGCTCCAGTGTAGCTGCAGTTGCTGGCTATTTTCTCAGAAAACGAAGGTAATTGTTATACTAATGTAATGTAATACAATATCATAGCATATTTATTGTTTAATACATTATCTATAAAATGAGACTAGAATAAGGCTACCTAAATTTATAATTGGAAAAAAATGCGTATGGGCACATGAATATACTCAAAAGTGGGTATTTTTGTAACTATCGTTCCCGTTAATTGCTTGGTATAACTATCGCATTTATTATACATTATATCTAATATAACGAAATTCCTATTTAGAAATTAAGTAAGCTGTAGAATAATATATATGGTGGAAAGCCAAGAACTTCCTTGCAGTCCTTAATTATTTCTTATTTCTATAAATGTTTCTCAATCTATTAATTATTATTAAACTGATTTTCTTAAGTAATATTTTAATAAAATTGAAGTAGGCGTTTATTAGTCTATTTTTTGTCAACTTCTCATTAAAATTTAGTCTGTGAAATTTCATTAAACAAAAATACTACAGCCCACCTCTTTTATTACTGCATAAGATAGGGTGAACATTATTCATAATGACCGGGAAGAGTGATTAATAAGGTCGTTTTAATCACATTGTCCAATTGAGTTGGGCATTATGAATACAGACTGGTCATTATTAATAGTAGCCAGAATTATCAAATTGCCTGTAACATACAGATGCGACTCTTGTTTAAAATACTGTAATTGACTGACACAGTTATTATAAGATAAGCAATTACAAGAGAGGAAAGTCGGTTCTTAGTAAATCCTCAAGTGTCCCGGGCGAAATCAACTTTTCCTCGTGTAATCCGGGATTAAAGCTGGAATTGAAACCAATAATTTTACGGCGTTTATTACATACTGCATTAGGTTTCAAGTGGTATTTTTTACTATTTGCTTGAGTCTATTCGATTAGAAGTCATGTGAATTGCATAATTGTATGAATGATTTGGTCTAGATTCACCAAAAAAAATTGTGCCGATTAACTTTTACAAAACACTAAAATTAAAGATGTGAAATAGAACACTTTAATGGTTTAAAACGCGTTATATTAGTTAAACTTATTTGAAAATGATTTTAACTTCGGCCCGACGTTACCGATGCTTTGCAGCAGCCGTGGTCGCGGGGAGGAAATAATTTTCAAATAAGTTTAACTAATATATCGCGTTTTAAACCGTTAAAGTGTTTTATTTAAATGTATACTACTCGCGTAAACTATAGACAGTATTTGATGTGAAAATTATTATATGCAATAAATGCATTTTTGCTTTGTACACAATTAGTATGTGTATATTCGTATCGTTGTTAAGCATTCGACTCGTCGCGCCGTAGATAAAATTAATTAAAATAACTTAACTAATATACTTAGCGTTATACCTTTAATAGTGTTTTATTACAGTTTATTTTATTTTTAAATTGTAGTGCTAAAACTTTGATATTTTCATACTTTAAGTTTAGTCTTATCTTTGTATTATAATTTTATCAGAAATAGCGTCATCAACAAACAACATTCCCAAGAACTGCAGCTTAACTCCGGCGACGGACAATATATTGTGGCATACACATTGAAGCCGGCGAAACAAGCACAGCCGGATATTTTGAATCCCACAGGTGAGATATTATCCATAATATATAGTCTTCAGAGAGAGGCCTTAGTTAAATTGAGATTTTATTAAGTTAATACATTTCGCAAGGAAAAAGAATTGATAATTGTATATTTTACTCAAAAGATGATTACGTTAATAGTAGCTATGCTAATCATAATAGGTTTGCATCTAGATCAAGATTCAAACTGTTTCAGAAAAGTCAATTAATAATTTATCAAAAACGTATTTAATTAGTTTTGATTCTCAAAGCGTATTAGTGAATGTCGGTTGGTTAACATTAAAAATTGCTAAAACTATCTGGTGACCGAACTGATATGTATTTTATAACATATTTGCTCGTAAAGTGCTTGTAATTAGACCAATTTCAATATCGTAATGTATCTCATTACGTACTTGTGCGATAATGTAATGTAAAGGCACGTGTGTTTTTTTTTAGCAAAGAGGTTTTATATCAAGAAGTGGTCAATATTTTATGAATAAAATTAACTTTGGGAAATAAAATATGTATAACCAATAAACATTTAATTCTTTAATTAAATTAATTTTTGACAATAAATTACGACCATTTATCTGTAACAAAAACACAAAAATAATTATTTACTTTATTAGTAATACTGGCTGTTTTTGTACCTTTGCCTAAAAAAAAACGTTGATGCGCGCGCAAGTAAAAATAATTCCGCGCGCTTTTTCTTTTCGCTGTATTGTTTTTATTTAAAAATGTCGTCATTTTCTCGTAAATATGTTATAAAACGTCGTATGACATACGTGCGCTTTTTTGAAAATTACAGCCTCGGCTGTAATATAATATCAATCATATAGGTAGGTAGGTTGCAAATCAATAGAGGTCGAAATATCTCGAATTATTGATAATAATGTTATTATGTTGCATTTATTTACGTTTAGATAAAAATCTGCGACTTAGATAAATGTCTTTTGTCAGTATTTATCGTTATAGAGAAGGACAGACTATTATATGGTTTATTTAATGGAAGTTAAAATACCCATATAAAAGCTAAACAGGACGTGCTGTCGATCTCTATTAGCTTTGGGTTGGTTTAATCAAAACTTGGAACTTCACGGCTTTTTCATCTCTGGACGATGGTTTTTTATATTCTTGCCGCCCATTTAATATCCAGAATTCCAGATGTACAATATGTTTGACAAAAAAAACATGTTTGAAGATCGACCTACGACCCGTTGATTAGTAGCCATTGCTACCATTAGATCATGGACCCCATAATAACATAAGCTATTAACACATTAGTACAAAATAATGTCATAACCAAAACGGTATTCTCCTTAGAGTACCAACATACCTTTTTATGTGTATAAGCTTTTTGTAGGTGCATTTTATTGTAATGCTTCACCGGGTCCCTTGAGTACTTAAGCCGACTTTATATTCAATGTTTTGTATATCAACTCCCAACGCGGAAACGTAAACGCTTATTGCTTTTATTTTATCTTGTTTTCAAGGCCTTTTCTTTCGGTTGATCTGATTTAAGCTTTACTGATGTGTACTGTGGGAACATTAAAACAATATTATGTAGACTTCTTTCAACATACAAGAAACCAAGTAAAGATAATGAAGTAATAGAAGACAGAACTTTTTACAACATCGCACGTTGTAAATCTTTAAATTACTAATGCTAAAATTTCATTCGTGATCAAAGAAATTCAATAATTCTGAAAAAAAAATTATTAAGTAACTCTCATTAATTTTTTTGAGAAATTTTGAAAAATTAAGCGTTTGTTTACAAAACAAATTTTAATATTAAAAATATATATTTTTTCAGTTTATATATCTACAACTTAAACATACGGATATTGAAATATTGTATTATTTGATTTAAGAACAAGTGTTTCCAACTTGTGACGATTTTTAAAATTCGAATAATAACGGTAATAGTAGCAGTTACATTAAACAATTAAAATCAAGACTTACATTTTAAAAATAACCCGGTAATGTGAATCTTAATTTTAAGGTTATAAAGCTCTACATTTTAGGGTTCCCTACGCAAAGAATGTCTGAAGGGCTCACTAAGACTACCCGTCTGTTTGAGAACTGTTATATTTTCTACATGTTATTGCACATGATGGCAATATATAATTAAAAACAGATTTGAGATTACGGCAAGGGCAGGGTGAGCAAGTTAGAGCAACACGGAACGCTATGGATGTTCAAGTCCTGCCTGTATCGAAATTTTTTTTCAATCTAAAATCGATTTTTAATTTTTACCCGTCTGTTTCTAGACTTCATGTAATTACATTTTAAAGACAGTCCACATAAATATGTTGCCACAAAATAAAATGTGTGTGTATCCGACTCGGGCTTGGCCGATTTTATTAAATTAGGAACCTTTTACCTGTCCCATTAGTCAGCGTAACTCGATTCCCGAATAGATTTTCAGCGTTTTTAATATGAAGTGTGCTCAAATCATAACTTTTTTTTAGATGGTGGTCCTCAAACCGCGAGTGTAGAGACGGTTGTCAAAAATGGCGCTCTCCATACGAACGACGAGTGGCCGAGCGAACCCAGTTCTAATTCACAGGAGCAACGAAATGTGAGTATTAAACCCGTTCGTGGTTTATAGTTCGGAAGGAATTTAGTGTCTATTATTGATTTTCAAAACATATTTTAAATATGAGCAAATAAAAAAATATGTACTCCAAGAATCCTGACCGCATGATGTTAATTTTTTATGGGTCGGATATTTCGATTTTTGGACGTGCATAGAAATATTAATAACTATCACTGACCTGACACTGTCTTGGCCATATGGATTATTTCTAATAAATTTAATTACAATAAAACCGGTCCTTGAGACTAAATCTCAAAAGATAGATTGTCGGGGACATTTTTTAAGATTGTTTAAATGAAATAATTATTGTATACATAATTAATTTTGGTATCTTGAGTCGTTTCGCAGCGCACGCAACAAAATCCTTCAATGATAAATAATTTTCTCAGGATTTCACATTTTCTCGATAAATGGACCAACCCATACGAAAGTGGTTTCTGAATTAGAACCAGTAGTTCCTGAGGTTAGCTTGTTAAAATAAACAAACTAACTATTCAGCTTCAATATTAATATAAATGGACGTTGTAACGTACTCCCCGGTAAAACTCAATTTGTTTGGGAAAAATACATAGTTGAACCAAAAATTTGACGGAATGTGTAAGTGAGTCAGTGTAGTAGATAATTCTAATTCGCTTGCAAAGCCCGAATCCCAATTATGGAACTGCTGAAGTATGATGATGTAAGTACTTATAAAATGACTTCTCCGCAGTCACTGGCGTCACCGAAAAGTACGTCAAGCAAAGCCACCTTCAGCACAGCGACACTCAGTAGACGAGAACATTTGATAGCCGAGGAGATCCCGGGCCCAGAGAGTTGTGTATAAAGTAATAGCGTAGAAAGACAAATTGTATTTATTGACTGTGAGAATTGTGATAAAGATTGTAAATATATGTTTTAAGAATAACATGAGACTTTCCTTACATCCTTGGCAATAATTAAACATTTTAAACGGTTTACAACGCGAAATATATTCACCACTTCTGTCCTTTCGATACCTTACTTTTGACTACTGCGCAGGATTCGTTCAGCTCTAAACATCCGTGCCGAGTGACTTTAGAGGTCGAAACGAAGTTGAAATAAAATAAAAGTAAACTAACATTTCGCGTGTTAACCTTTAAAAAGTGTTTTATTTAAATGTGTACTATTCACATAAACTACAGACAATGTAATATACCTTCTATAGTCCCGCGAATAATATCCAAACTCTATAATTATATTATAAGTTATGTAATAAAAATGACAATAGAACTTCTGAAAATAGTTTTTGTAAAATTAAAATTAATTTGACGGCGTCGTTGGTCTAATCGAAAATAGGTCGACCGCGCATTTTATGTTACCATGGCTAGGGTATCTCGCCTTCCATCGCGTGAACCTTGTCTTTCCTCCTCTATCTGACAAGTATGAAAAAATATTACAGTCATTAAAGGTATCATTTACTAATATCAGTAAACAATTTGAAAGTGCATAAATATTATAGAAGATATTTATCAGTTTCTTGAAAGATATGCATCAATTGAGGTAATCCAATGACTAATATTTTGATTTGAAGAGATAAAGACAGAAAATAGTCTCATGACCAAACATGACTTGAAATTTGAAAAAAGCCAAGATTCTACAGTACAATAAAGATATAATAGTTAAATAAAAACTTATTTATAAATGATTTTTAACTTCAGCCCGACGTTTCGAATGCTTTGCAGCAGCCGTGGTCACGGGGAGATATTAATGTCTAAGTTCAACAAGTGTTTTTTTTAATGTGTACTACTCGCGTAAACTATAGACAGTGTTTAAAGATGTAATAATAAAAAGAAAAATAATGCAACCAACTAGTTTGAATTTTGTAAAAAACATCGTTTCAGATGCTTCGAGGAGTTATGGTCTCCGAGTCGTTGGATCGGAGTTAAAAATAAGATACTTGTAACTAATAGTTGAAAACATTAATATTTTTTACATGTTATTGCATATGATGGCACTATATAAATTAAAAATCGAAAACAAATTGACTTCGACTCCGACAGGGTTTGAATCGGCATCGTCAGCGTTCTGTGCTGTTGCCAGCAATTGAGCTACCGAGTCCTTGGTTAGAGCAACAGCGATTCAATTTTCAATGTAACTAATAGATATATTTTATGTTGTAAAGAGTTAAATGTGTTTTAGACAGTACTGTGCGTGTTAGCTAGGACGGCCTCAAATTATCAAACACTTAAAAACTCTGGATCCCAATAAACAGCATACCGGCAAACGCGAAGACATCGTTAGTAAATTCTGCAAGGACCCGGCCAGTTTCGCCAAATACCAACTTCGACGGAACAGATGGCGCTAGCGTAGCAATTTTTTAGAGACATCCTCCATCTTTAGTCTCACCGTGACGACGGCTGCTGCAAAGCATCCGAAACGTCGGGCCGAAGTTAAAAATTATTTTCAAATAAGTTTAACTAATATATCGCGTTTTAAACCGTTAAAGTGTTTTATTAAAAACTACAGACAGTATATATAGGCCAGATAAATGTGTATAAAGTTTGGTACCGAAACAGAAATGAGGAGATTCGTAGGAGAATTATAGTCAGTGATATCATAGTACCGGACGTCAAAAACCTGGACGACCTACTACTAGGTGGACCGATAACCTGGTAGCTGGAAAACGCTAGATTCAAGTGAGGAGAACGCGGAAAGAGGGGTCTCTGTGGGTAATGGCGGATTCGCAAAATATATAAGTCACACTTAATTTAGATAGCACAAAATAGTTTCATAAAGTAGCTAAACACACTGCAGTGAAGCAAACATTAAAATTAAATGTCCTCGTACAATGAATTGTACACATAAGTGTTGTCATCTGCCAACGCACCCTTGGCCAATTTATAAGCTTAAACCCGTTAAATATTGTCTTAAAGTCTACTAATAGAAGATTCTAAATTTAACCTGACGACATAGTTAAATCCAATAATTAGATTATGTCGTCAGAATATGAATCGATAAATATCTAATAAATACATAAACAAAGCTTATCTCAAAATTGACGAATAATCATGATTTAAATAAAATGTAATATGGATAAATCAATGCGAAGATAATAAATTCATAATCACAGTGATTAAATGAAATAACTGCGAGCCGACAATCACGATGAAAATACGTTTCAAAATGCCGATGATGATTTGCATTTTTAAATAGATATTGTAATTAGAATTCGTCACTAAATAAATAAATGTAAAAATATCCCTATTTAACACTGGTCTTTTATTTTTCCAGGATAGCTAGCTGAACGCATAGATGCTTAACGTAGCAATTAAAAAAATGAAGGGTAGTTTTCTCTAATTATTATTTTTGCTGCGCCTTCGAAAATGGTTCAGACGAATTATAATACTGATGCTATATGTAGGAATTTGGTGCGTATGTGGAATGTGGCAGTACAGTAGCGTGTTCAAATCTCGCCTATGAGGGCTAAAAGAGGTGAATTGGATTTGAACTAGCATCCACATTCCGTGGAACTGCTTTAACCAATTGAGCTACGGTGTTCTAAGTGTCGTCGTTGAATTTACTTCAGAGTCATCGCAGAGAATGTGTAAGGGTAGTCCGTATTAAGTCATTAACCCAGATAAGCCTACTGTCCTATATTTAGGACAGTAAAAATAAAAAAAAATTCAGAATACCCCCTTTATCTAAGATTATTTAGTCTTATGATTTGCAATAAGAAACGTGTCAGCTTTATTAGAAAAAATAAAAAGACAGTTTTTTTAACCGTTAAATACCTTTATATTTTACCTTATAAGTGTGTAATAAAAGTGCGTTGCAGACATGGCAAATGACAGGTATGTATAAAAAGTTATATTTTACTCGTGAGTTGTTTTTTTCTGTGTTAATATGTAGTTGATAAGCTTAACTTTGGTACTAAATAAATATTCTAGCAAAATAATATAAATAAATTACGTATAACTTGTTACAAATACTAGCGTACTATATATAGGACAGTAGGATAATATACATGACTTTAGTACAATAATACAACTTTTTCTATACAGACCGTTAGCTGCGCATGAAATTTTAGATGATTTAGAAAATGTTTCTGATAATGAAGAAGATTATAGAGAACGACTGATATGTATTCTACCTCCTCCTGTTGATCCTGACTGTCTCACTGACGAAGATTCGAATGAAGAAGATAATGTAACTTTGAATAATTTTCCATGAAACATTCTGCTTCAACCGGCTGAAGTAATGATTCAAGGGCAAATTATGGTGAGTGATACAGAAGAAGAACCTTCTGATTCTACAGGTCGAACTAAACGTAGGCGTACCTACGCATGGAGAAAACGGGACTTGGCAAAAAATCCTGTGAATTGGCCAGATGTTCAAGGCGCTTGCCAAGATAAGCGCCCAATTGAGTGGTCTGAAAACTTCTTAGATGAAGATGTTATTTCGTTGTTGGTGTCAGAGAGCAATAAATATGCTGTAAAAAAGAATTTGCCTGGAGACATAACCACTGAAGATATGAAATGTTTCATCGGCATTTTGTTGGTTAGTGATTATTCATGGCTCCCCCGTAGAAGAATGTATTCGGAAAACTCCCCTGATACAAAGAATGAATTGATCAGCTCGACTATGACTAGGGATAGATTTGACTTTTTTTTTCGCCACCTTCATGTCAATGATAATCTGGATTTGCAAGACAAATACACAAAAGTACGCTAAGAACTTTTATTTAGAAGTGTAACTAGGGGTTACACTTCTAAATAAAAAGTTCTTAGAGTTTTCTCCTCTTGAAGAGCATTACAGTGTAGATGAGGCCATGATCCCCTACTATGGTAGACATGGCTGCAAACAGCACATAAAAGGTAAACCTATTAGGTACGGGTTCAAAGTTTCAAGATCTTGCCGAACATAATGCATGGCAGTTATATAAAATCGCAGAAGGGTAGCAATTGCTTTGATTGAATCAAACAGAAAAAATGCCAAAAGAGGGCCTAGCCGACCCATCATGAACATGCTGATAGTCGTAAAGACCAAATGAATCGTCTGGTTATTCCTCAATCGAAGCAAACACACTGTCGTCAATGTCACAAAAAATGTTTGACACGTTGCAAGAAATGTGATGTTGGAGTGTGTTTCAAGTGTTTTGAAACATATCATTCATAAATAGTGTTAATCTAGTAAATTACATATAACAATGGGTAATATAATCAATAGTTACCTAATATACTACACTTTTTGATTACATTCTGTTTTGTCATAAATGGTCTTTTATTACCTCTTATTATCCTACTGTCCTACATATAGGACGGCTGTTTCCCTGAAAGCCTTACACTTAATTTTTTTTTTATAATTTTTTTTATGTTGCATAAGATCTAATAAACTAAATAATGTAACTTTTTTCAAAATTTTCAGAAAATTTTAGTTACAGGCTTATCTGGGTTAATCTAAGTAATTGTTTTATGATAAAGGAGAAAAAAAATAAGATCGGGGTTACTTGATGGTAGAAGTAAAAGACCAACCCTGTAATATCTAAACAAGATACCCTGTCGACTGTTTAAGCTTTGGATATTCGGAAATCCACAGACTGAAACCGGAATGCGATAAAACGTGACTGCTCTTTCATATATGGACTATAATTCGTGGCCTTGCTGGAATGACTACCAACCATTTTATCCAGCTTTCCAGACGTAGTCCAACGGATTAAAAAAATATAAATTGATGAGAAATATGTTGTACCCGGTGAGGATCGAACCCACGAACCGTTAGTTATCAGCCATTACAGCAACAAGCTTCTATTTATTATTATATTGAGTAAATCCATAAGAAAATGTTGGATAAAAACTTATACGTAGAGATAAGAATTCTTTGCAAAGCGTCCAAAATGAGCATGAATTTTCCGAGTACGTGCTCGTTTACGTCATAATTTTTCATTGAGCTTGGAGTTGGGAATGCCTCCAATTAAGTTTCTCTTTACCGTTTGCTCGGGGAAGAAAAATAGGAGGGACAGTCCTCACATGCGTACTGTGAGATTCATGGCCAACAAATTTATCTTAGCCCTAACAAACCCTTTGTACTTGATAGCGAAATGTTTCTCTCAATTATACTTCAGTTAACATCGTACTCGTACCGCCTCTGTAGCCAAATGGTTAAAACGTATTGCCTAGCATTGCGTTAAGGGCGAGAGGTCCTGGGTTCGAATCCCGGGGAAACATAAAATTGGTTTTGTCGGGCAGGGCACAGAAGTCTGATCAACTATTTACCCGTTAAAAGAACGGATCTGTGAAACGGACACAGAAATGTGTTCGCCTTATGCCCTACGAGAGGGAAACGGGCTTTCACTCTCAAATATCGTACTCACTTATTTAGGTGTATAAAACGCAGTATAAATTTAAATGATGTTTCAACTTTAACGAGCTTACTGGTCTAATGGTAGCAACTTATGGCTTATCATCAACGGGTCGTGGCTTCGATCCTTCGTCTAGAAATCTAGATAATATATTTAATATCCAGATTGTTAGGAATATTGAAATTACGACCGGATCACGAACCACAGTCCACAGATGAAAAAGCCGTGAGGTTTAATCACGTTACGTTTTGTTGATTTCCGAATATCCAAAGCTCAACAAAGGTCAATAGCGCATCTTGCTTCGATATTATATGAGGGAATTTCACCTTCCATCTAGTGGCCCCATGCTTGTTTGTCCTCCTTTACATTCAAATAAACGTAAAACGATCATTGTGCAAAAATACGAGAAATATACAATGACGACGCTATTTTACAAACAGAATTTATTAATAAGAGAATATTTGACTTATCATCGAATCGAACATATTAACTAAATTAAGTTATAATCATATTTTTAAATATTACATGAATAGTCGTAGTTCATTCAGTACTCAACATAATTTGTATGTAAAGGAAATTATCATACATTAACAGAGAATGTTTTAATGTGAAGTCCATTTCAAAATAGAGCTTTCTCATTGATTCATTTTCAAATAGATTAAAAGAATCGATAATAAATTACTATCTGTTTTTAATTAAATAAAACACTTAAACGGCTTAAAATGCGATATATTAATTAAACTTATTTGAAAATTATTTTTAAGTTCGGCCCGATGTTTCGGATGCTTTCCAGCAGCCGTGTATTAAAATAATAGTATTTAAATACTGTCTGTAGTTTACGCGAGTAGTACACATTTAAATAAAACACTTTAACAGTTAAAATTATTTTGACTACGGCCCGATGTTTTGGATGCTTTGCAGCAGCCGTGGTAAAGGTATGGTTATGTCAGGTAAAGGCAAAGCCTTTTTACTGATGGTTTGAATGCATAGTGTCACGACGTTGTAGTGTGGAAATTCGTACTACACCGAGTTAGAGCTAGTACGAACCCTGCCGGGGGCGAGACTCAACCGCAATCACTAAGTACACCACCAGCCCACTGTAGTGCTTCCAAAGGAGCCCTGGGGACACGTTTACACAACTCCAAAGCTCCCAGCACCAATACCCATTTCAGACAAGTGAAAATTGCAGAAGACCTAGGAAGTGCGTACAACATCTTAATTCTCATCTTACCGCTCGCATTGGATCCTTAGTTCCACTCTCTCTTAGTTTTTCGGCCGCCTCCTTCTGCAGCATCACCAGCTTACAGAAAGTAGTGGCCGTTTCCGACAAGTTAAAAAAAAGTCTATGCTATAACTTATTTTTCTATGAGGTACATTTGTTTTAAATTAGTCTAGACTTTAGACTTTTTGGTTGCTGTGTCAGACTTTCCTTTAAGAATGGATTCTTTGAGGTGATTACAGGTTTCTGTGAAAAGGTAGATACCATGATTGTTCTAAATGTGATTAGTAAACCTCTTTTAATTAAAACCGTACAGCTGAACCGTTTCGATTTTTAAGATACTCTGTAAATCGATGGAGTCAACTCAGCTACGTCTATTTAATAATATTTATGCCTATGTATAATAAAACAATTTTACATGTTTAAAACGCAAAATATATATAGTTGCTATTAATACGTAATGAATAAAAGAAATTATGTAGTGTGATTTCTGAATCACTGTACCACATTTATTTAATAACTTTCACATATCTTAAAATAAATAATAGTTTATATCATCAAGCTCATTGGTACTGGGTATTCCCACTGGGTACCACACGCTTCTGGATCGAAATTATATTTTTTCTGAAAAATGTTACTAGAGATGAAAAAAACCGTAAAGTTTACCAGCATTTCAGCTTCAATCATTTGATCTCCGAATGTATAAAGCAAAAATGGCTCAACAATCATCTCGCTAAGGAGTTATATGGTGACATATATTAAAAATATAGACTGAAATCATAATGTCTCAAAATAGACTTGTAAATGACAATGAAGCATTATTTTATTAAGATTCCACAATAAATTCACTCACCTACAAATGCCCGTAAAATTTGGTAGTTTGATTGAGTCAGTATTTTTATTGTTTTGGGCCGCGAATCAATGGTGAATGTTTGAGTAATAAAACCGTTTTACGACTGTTTTCACGGAGGAATTTGTGGACCGTGAAATGCACCTCCCCCCCCCCCAGCCTCATTCTCAAACCGACACTGGAGACACACTTAAGATGTATTATTTTAATGGACCACACATTTTACAGTGCTCTCGATACTAAATCATACTCGTATGTCCCACTTTCTTAATACCGTCGTAAAACATAGTCTTTATTTGATGGAGAATACGGTTTTATTCACGTAGGATGCATGATAAAGATTTTACCATAAGTACTGTCTGTAGATTACGCGAGTAAATTAAAAGAAAACACTCTTTTCAAGAACAATTTTAATAACGGTTTGAAACGCGAAATTCTCTAGTTAACTTGGTGTGACAGCACAACACAATTTTGTATTTCTTCTATCCGCACATGGCTAGTTATTACTTACCTTTACCAGTTAATAACCCAAATTAGGCACAACAGAATTTTAGCATTTTTCATAATTACCGATTATAATTATTATTGATGTATTGATCCTGAAAATTATAGAACATTTTTCTTATTTTCAATGAGGATTATCTCTTAAAAAATAATAAAGGCACAAGTACTGTGAATAATTCTAGCTTTGGACGTTCTTAAATCTACAAACTGAAACTAAGACGGCTGTTACATTAATAGGTGCTACCTAATTAATATCCAGGTACTAGGTTTTACTAAATTTCAGAATAATAAGACAATGATTTAGAAAAATAGCCTATTGCTTATCTAACTATACTAAACACTGTGTAACCTATGCACCATCGGCCAATTCTGACGAAAGCAGTGAGAGCATCGATGTTATCGAAGCTTAATTAGGTACACAATTTCGTTCCATACGAATTATCTGATCACTCGATTGTTGATAACATTAAGTATATAAGTGTCATTAAAAATAATTATTAGCATAGTGGAACTCAGAAAGCGCAACATGAAGATCGCGATATTCCTAAGTCTCTTGTGTCTGGCCTGGGCAGCCCCCAAGGCTCAGAAGACCTTCCAAGATCACTTCGAAGAGTTCCTGAAAATCTGTGTGGATCTCGAGGGCAAACATTTTTCGCGTCAAACAGGCACATACCTTAGATTCCCTGAGTACCGTGCAGCTTTAAATGCTATTGATCAGCCGATTGATTTTAACGAGCTGGCCAAGAGTTTTGAACAATTACCAGAATACAGAGCGGTGAGTATCTAAAAAAATAAATTAACTATTGTATATGTTTCAATGTATCGAAAAAATCTTACACGGGCAGGAGTCTAAATTAATGCCACAGTATTCCGTAGAATGTTGTGTCAGCACCGAGTCACTGTTCTATCAATTAAGCTACTATTGAATTAAATCGAAGTCCGACCGTTGATGACATTACTAAGCTTATAAATATTTCAGGTAATTAATTTCCTAGCCGAGTACAGCATTGATGTTAGCTACTTCGTTAAGCGTTATGAAGAATTCGTTGGTAATTGTCCCTTTACTTTTGATATTTCTTTTTTTATGAATTATATATATACATATATATAATTAACCTAAAATGAATTTTAGGCACACTCAACGCTGTCAACCCAGACCAGCAGAAGAAACACACAAGACAACGTCGTCATCCAATCACTGGGACCACCATAGACACCAGTGTGGTCGACACAGTCAGTATGCTTCCAAGGAGACAACTTCGTGCTTTGTTTGCCCAAAAAATGGCTTACGATGAATCATTCAGAAGGATTATTGAGGCCATCCGTAGCGATGAATTCCAAGAGCTTTACCAGAATCTGTGGGCGAACCGCGTTTTCAGAACTATCACTGATGCACTGAGCGAAAGGGGACTACATTTGAGATACGCTTTGGAAGAGTTGATGCCAGCTTTCTTCGGACAAAACATCCCGACTTACGTGTCCTTCCAAATGCAGTTCGACGAATTCCTCGACATCATCGTGTCATTGGAGGGTGCCCACTTTATGCGTCAATTTAACATGGGTTACAAACCATTCCCCGAGTTCATCAAAGCTCTAGACTATGTCGCTAATACAAGTTTGATAAATTATTACACACACTACGCGCAAAGTGTTCCTGAATTTATAAAGGTGTGTCCCCTTGACTATATAATTTTTGAAATCAGAGAAAAATAATAAAGTCGAATAAATATACAACATGTTTAATACGTATTTATAAAAGAAATATACACTTACAGGCCGATACCTTCTTGAGGCAAAAGGATGTCTTCATCGCCTACCACATTGACAGATTCGAGCTATTAGTCAGTAAGTAGAAAATAGTTTTTCATCTGCAGAATTGCATCTGCATCCTAAGCATCTAGAACTTTATATTGTAAAGCTGTTGTTAGAAATTATTTTATAATATTCATTATTTCTGTTTAGAGAGACTTTCTGAGCTAATTACCGATGAAGACCGCAAGAACGCTCAGGCCAACAAACCAAACAGACAGCGTCGCCACCCTACCACTGGAACCACTCTCTACACTTGCATCGTCGACACCGTCAGCTTGCTTCCAAGACAGCAACTTCGCCACTTATTCGACTACAAAATGGCCACAAACGAAGTATTCCAGACATCGATCAAGGCACTCAGAAGTGAAGAATGGAAGGAAATGTACAAAACCATATGGAAGAACGAAGAGTTCATCAGCTTAGCCAAGACCTTGGCCGATCACGATCTAGATTTAAAATACATCTTCGAAGAGTTAGCCCCAGCTCTTTTCGGACAAAACACTCCTATCTACTTCTCCTTCCAAAACCAATTCGACGAGTTCTTGGACATAATTGTCGATGAGGCTGGCGATCAATTCTACAAACTAGTCGAGGCATACATCAACTTCCCCGAATTCAAACAGAGCCTGGAATTCGTTGACAAAAGTAAAATCATGAGCGTTTACCAGAGACTAGGTAGAACAGCTCAATTCAACGCAGTAAGTAAAATAGTATTTTTGTTAAAATTTAAACCTGTGCTTAGTCAAAAATCTAATTAATGTTTAATTTTTTTTCATCAGCTCGACGTTTATTTGAAACAAAAGGATATCTTCGTTCCTTACTACCTGGATCGTTTGGAATTCTTAGTTGGTTAGTATACTTATAATATCTAGTCAATATCTTGCCATCTAATATTTTCGCAGGCTTATCCAAAAGACCTTTACATAATTTAATTAAAATTTGTTCTTTTCCAGGTTACATCAATTCCAATGCGACAAAGGATGGATTTGGTGATGGCGCATACACTAGAAGCTCTTCACCGGCTTCAGCCTCTGGTTCCTCAATGAGCAGCTTCCTTAGTGATTTTATTAAAGTCCTACCCAAAGCAAAATTAAATGCTTTGTACGAACAGAAACTATCGAGCAACAAAGAATTCATTACAGCTATAGAAGCTTTCCGTGCTGATGAATACAAACAACTTTACAATACCGTATGGGAGACTGAATTGTTCAAGGAGATCGCTGGTGAATTCTCAAAGAATGACTTCGATCTTAAGTACCTCATAGAAACGTTTACTCCTGCGCTGTACGGACAGAATTAAGGAGGTCATATTGAATTCAGAGTTTTTGAATTTTCTTGAAGATTTATTATTATAATTATTATTTATTGTTATTATTATTTATTTTCGTATATTATTTAAAAGTAATAAAATAAAATAAGCACGTACTGTCTTTGAATTGTGTATCACAAATATTTCCATTAATATTATAAAATAAGACATTATAAAAAAGAACAAGATATTTTTACGTCTTCATTATTCAAAAATAAAGTAAAGGAAATTAAGTTTAGATAGGTAAATGTGCCTAACATTTAAAGACTATATGAATCAATGAAAAGGCTTAATAGATTAGAGTATAGCTAAAGAGTTCGTTTGTTTGTCCATCTCAATAAGTACTTGTTCGAATTAAATAAAACTTTTTATGTTAGTTGAAGCATTTACCGATGACGGGTTTAAACTGTAAAACAATAGCTATAAAATATTACGCTGAGGCCAATAGGAGCCCTCCCCGATAAACGGTCTATCAAATACGAAACTTGACTAAAAATTATTATTAAACAAAAAAATACGTAATACGTATGGAATATTTAATATTAGCTTATGCACCAGAACTAAGCGTTGAGCTAGTTAGGTTTGATAACAATGCTTTTAAATAAAACTTTCAAATAAACGTAAGTAGCAAGTTAGAACGACACTATTTTACATCGTATTACCAAAGCAGTAAGTATAAATTTTGATCCAAAAATATACAAACAGTTTTCTTCATATTACACTCCCTTTTTTCTCGACTTTTATAACGTCAATTTATTATATTGTAACGATCGACCGATTTGTAATTTATGGAGTCCTGGTACTTCAAAGCTGGATAAAGGTTAGGAAAAGAATTCGAGTTTTCGGCGGAATACGCCGTGTTTAGTTCGGAAATTGCATTGGATGAATGCCAATGTAATAATTGGGCACCATAAATACGTGCCAACTCATGAATCCTGTGTTCTTTTTCCAGTTGTAATGAGAACGGGCTGAATAGAAAGCGAGCGTGTGTCAGATACGAGGAGTCAAAGGAGGTTCTTTATGTCTTTAGGCAGTTGTTCCAATGCCAGCGAGGAGCCTGCTATTTTGTGCATGTTCTTTTAACAGAACTTGTTTGTTGAAATAGAGATATATACATATATCAAACGGCCTATAATTTCGAATTAGCTGCCTTAGATAGATAGTGTAATAGAAACTTAAGGTCAGTTAAATACCAGTAATTTTCTGGGCTTACAAATTTAACGTTGAAATAAAAGTTGGGAAAACTTAATAGCTTATGTACTGTGCACAAAAGTTTAAAAAAGTGACACTATGACATATCCACCACCCATACACAGAAAACGGTATTATACTAAATACTGTAGTAACTAACTAACTTACTAATTAGTCGCAGTTTAACCAAATTACTAAAAAATAATACTGTGAAAAAAATATATATATTTATTTTATCTGTGGCCCGATGTTACTGATTCTTTTGGCTGAAGGTGAAGGGTGTAATGTTAAAGACAAACATGCAACGCTAGCACTATCTGCAGTTTGGAAAAGAAATAAGTTAGTATATGTCCCGTTTTAAACCCTTAAAAACTTTTAAACCCTTAAAAACCTTTATTATAATGCTTACGAACTACTTATGTGAACAATAGACAATACTAAATTAATGTCATACAATAAATTGTTTAAAGTGTTTAATGAATATTACAAATAGTAACACTTGCACAACCTAACCCAATAAAATAAACCTTTTTGTATAATGTACATTATTTCTAGGGAAATTCTAGTGTGTGAGGGTTTGGTATATGAGAGAAAGAGGCATAGAGCGATATGAACATTGGAAACATATAAAAATATTGTTATATATTGCATTAAACGGTTAATACTTTGTAAAGATAGCTGGATTCGTTGCGTTTTGGTAATAAGATACAAGTAGTAGGTGGCGAAAATGCTTGTCCAATTCCGCAAAAGAAAATGGATATAGGTGACCACAGCGGAAATCCGAGTACATAGAACGTAATGTCAGGCGAGGGTTAACTAATTGGGTGGGGCGGGTCGGATGTGCGAACAAGGCAAATGAAGATTTATCATCTCTCCGGTCCTTGGACACCGGCCACTGCTCACCGTTATATATTCTACATAGTGTTAAATAATATTTTGAACTGCGCATTGTTCTTACTATACTGATGGTAGCCATTTTGACTATATCTTTACTAATATATAAAGCTGAAAAGTTTGTTTGTTTGAACGGGCTAATCTCAGGAACTACTGGTTCGAATTGCAAAATTATTTTTGTTTTAGTGAGAACATTTATCGAGGAAGGTGTGAGAAAAATTTATCGTGAAACATCCCGCTGTGGCTAATACGAGTGATGAAGCAGCGTAAAATGTGAAAAAAAAAACGGAGGAAAATTTTCATCTATGTGGGTTTCCAATGCGTACGCTGCTAAACGGTTCAAGATACCCAAAAATGATCTCTTTTTAAATGTTTAAAATTTAAATTTAACCAAATTTCAGGAAAAACTAAAATGGGCTAAAAATATATAATTATTAATATTTTAATACAAAAAATTGTTAAACAAAAATCGACGGAAACCTGTTTGGCATGCTTTACAAGATAATTTTAACACTAACCATTATCGGTGTATGATTCGGCGATACCTTGTGCTTGTGTAGTTATTGCTTTAAACATATTTTTACTTGTTTATCAAATGAATTTCCTGATTGTGAAGCACAAAATAAATATTATCATTGCGTGAAACTGAAATAATTGTTTCCGTAATTATTTATTCATGGAAGAGCCTATGCCGTTAATCAAAATTCACCAGGTGTATTTTATAATAATTGAGAAAATTTCACGATAGAATTAAGAAATATTTTGCTTTCATTAAGTTTTCCTTTTATAATAAGACTAGCTTTGCCCGCGACTAAAATAACTAATGTACATGGTCACTACGAACATTAGTTATTTTGAGCACCAAATTGTGTTATTATTGCAAACCACCGTCCGCGTCCTATCGTTAATGCAAGTTAATCTTAAAATAAGCATATACTGTCGTGGTAATTTTTTGTTGTTATTTAACGAAGAATAATATATTATATATATTTATTTTTTGGGCACCTAGATGCGTTAACGGAGCGCCCGCAACGGAAAACCTAGGAGATGAATTATTTTACTTAGCCTAACCCCGCTAAGCAGGAGAGCTCGTGGATTCGAATTCAGAAGAAACGACAAATTATAGTAATTATAATTAAATATCGAACATTGAAACGGGCATAAACAACATACACTACAACTACAAAGAACACGCGTGAGATTCACATGATTAAAAACATCTATACAAATGTGAAATCAAATTTAAAAAGTCTTCCGATTATCGCGTTATTAATTATTATTAAAAATACTAATAAAAGATAATCTAAGTAATTATTTCAGTGGTATTCGAGATTGTTTTTGTTTCGGCAGTTTTAGTTCCGGTTGATAAGATACAGAGAAATATGAAAAAATACATGTGTGATAGATATCTCTATACAAATAAATGACATTGCCCACAATGACTTGCAGACTTAGATTGCTGATGGTAGTAAAAAACTAAGATTGGGTAGTCACATACATTGTTTAAGGCATATAGCATCGCGGATTTTTTTTTAGATCATTTAAAGAGGAATCACTCTTTCATACATAATTTTTTGGGTACCGTGTTTGCAGCGTACGCCTCGGAAACCCCTAATCATGAATAACTTTCCCAAAAATTTGCACATTTTCCGCTGTATCTTCGCTTGTATTAGTAACCTATATCCTTCCTCGATAACTGCTCTAACTAACACAAAAATATTTTTTCAGTTCGAACCCGTAGTTACTGAGATTAGCGCGTTCAAACAAACAAACATGCTCTTCGGCTTTATATATTAGTATAGATTTTAGCTGGTGTTTGTTATTACAAGTGAAACCGGGCGTCGTCTCTAGTCACAGTATATATCACTTAACTAACAGTACGAAATAGCGTTACCCACGCGTGTTAAGATTAAACTCCACCCCAAAGTTGTTGAATAGTAGTTGAACTGAATTTCAAGATTATTAAGTGCATATGAATTGTTCCCCGGGCACCGAAATTTGCTTAATCTTAATCAACTCGCACATAACTCACAATTTATATTATTAAGCTGTATTATCCACTCATGCGTCGCACCGAACTTACAAGGTGAGTTTCTGAAGTGATTTAGAACATCGAGGTCACGACGAATATTCCTAGTTCCCCGCTCAGGTCAGATCCGAAAAGGGTTTTATCGAACGTTAATGATCCCCATTTCTATGTTAATGAGAATTGCTTATTGAATGAGGCCGCCGACGCTGTGCGAGTGCTGGCTGGTTGTAAAGCTCTATTCTTTTTCATCGTTGTTTTGTGTCGACTGGCTCGGTGTATAGTTCTTGAACCATGGTGGCGTAGTGGTGTGAGTAACGGATTTGAATTCGACCCCTGGTCGTGTGCAAATTTATGTGTAATTCTCCAATCACATAGCATTTAAACAGGATGTGCCGTGGACGTATTTTTGATTCAGTCATTCGGAAACTAAAACTAGATTAAAGTTAACTCAAGCACTGTCTGTTGTTTAAGCGAGTAATACTCGTTTAATTGAAACGCTTTAACGGTTTAAAACGCGATATATTAGTTAAACTTATTGGGAAATGATTTTAACTCTAATGACTGATTCTCCCCCTGACCAAAGCTGATGCAAAGCACCCGAAACGTTGGGCCGTATAAAATATATTCCAAATAAGTTATACTCTATTCCATATAAGTAACATATATCGCGTTTTAAACTCTATTTTTTATTTATTTAAATACAGAAAATTCGATATTTCCACCACCCAATACCAAAAAACTGTGTTACTAAAAATATATAATATATTTTTAGTAACAACAATTATATATAATAAAAATAAACTCTTTTTGTGATTACGACTATAGTAAAGCGTCCGATTTGAAACTAATTTACTCGTCAAATACTTGTTGTTACAAC